TCCGCCGTCCCCGGGCCCGGCCCGGCCGCGCTGCAGCTCCGAGCGCCGCTCCCCGACCGGGAAGGGTCAAAGGCCGCTCCAGCCGCGGGGCGCTCCCGGGGGCTCCGGCTCCACGGGCCTGTTTCACACTCGGGCGAACCCCGAGTCCGTGGGGAACCCCCGCCCCGTGCCGAGCGGCCTGGTCCCTGGGGGGCTGGGTCGGGTAGCCCCTGCCGGGGAGGGGGAAGGAGGGTACCGGCCCGGGGCTGCCGGGCGTGGGGAGCGAGCGAGGCGCTGCCTGCGCCTGTCTAGGGTTCCGCACCCGCCCTCGGGCAGGGCAGCGCCGCGGAGAGTTCGGGCTGAACCCGGCCCTTGCCCAGCTCGCACTTCGGCTGCAGTTACAGATCTCCTGGAACTTTTCCCCCTTTGATTCAGATTCGTCCCAGTCTGGGACTTGGGTTCCTGCACCGAACCCACCTTCTCACCCCAGCCTGGCGCTGCCCGTGCTCCCGCCTGCGCTCTCCTGGGCTGGCAGGGCGGATGTGAACGTAGCTAGGGGACGGTGAGCCCCTTGGAGAGCCGCCTGGGGGAGGCAGGAGAGAAACAGGTGGGGATGATGTTTCTGGAGCCCAGGGTCACGGCTGTTTTCCTTTCAGACTAGCGTCGTGACCATGTCCGTCAGCAGTCACGAGCACCGCAAGTCCCGCTCCAGTTCCGGCTCCATGAACATCCAACTCTTCCACAAGCCGGGCCATGCCGACAGCCTCCTGACCCAGCTCAACCTCCTGCGCCAGCGGCGTCTCTTCACTGACGTGGTGCTGCGGGCGGGGAACCAAGCCTTCCACTGCCACCGGGCCGTGCTGGCCTCCTGCAGCCGGTACTTCGATGCCATGTTCAGCGGGGGGCTGAAGGAAAGCAAAGACGCGGAAGTCAACTTCCACAATTCCCTGCACCCGGAGGTGCTGGAGCTGCTGCTGGACTACGTCTACTCGGCCCGGGTGTTGATCAACGAGGAGAACGCGGAGTCCCTGCTGGAGGCGGGGGACATGCTGCAGTTCCAGGACATCCGCGACGCCTCGGCCGACTTTCTGGAGAAAAACCTGCACCCGGCCAACTGCCTGAACATGCTGCTGCTGTCGTACGCCCACTGCTGTGAGAGGCTCCTGGAGCTGTCCTGGAGGATGGCGCTGGCCAACTTCGCGTCTCTCTACCAGACTGACGACTTCCTGCGGCTGCCCAAAGACAAGCTGCTGGAGCTGGTGGAGAGCGAGGAGCTGGAGGTGGAGGACGAGAGCCTGGTGTACGAGGCGGTCATCGGCTGGATCCGGTACGACTTGCCGCAGCGGCACGAGGACTTGCCAGAGCTGTTGCGCTCGGTCCGCCTGGCCCTCCTGCCAGAGTCTTACCTGCGGAACCAGGTGGCCTCCGAGGAGCTGGTGACTAGCCACAAGCTGGGAGGGGAGATCGTGGCCGACGCCGTGCGCTGCAAGATGAAGATCCTTCAGAACGAGGGGCTGGTGACGGGTTTCTGTGCCCAGCCCCGGAAGGTCAGCCAGGCCCTGCTGTTGCTCGGGGGCCAGACGTTCGTGTGTGACAAAATCTACGTGGTTGACCGTCAAACGAGCGAGATCATCCCCCGCACCGACATCCCAAGCCCACGCAAGGAGTGCAGCGCCTGTGCCCTCGGCTGCAAAGTGTACGTCACCGGCGGCAAGGGCTCTGAGAACGGCGCCTCCAAAGACGTCTGGGTTTACGACACTCTCCATGATGAGTGGGCGAAAGCTGCGCCCATGCTGGTGGCCCGGTTTGGCCATGGCTCTGCTGAGCTGGACCACTGTCTCTATGTGGTCGGAGGCCACACAGCGGTGAGCGGCTCCTTCCCAGCTTCGCCCTCCGTCTCTCTCAAGCAGGTCGAACACTATGACCCCCAGTCGGACAAGTGGTCCCTGGTGGCCCCTCTCCGGGAGGGCGTGAGCAACGCTGCTGTGGTGGGGGCCAAAAGGAAGCTGTTTGTCTTTGGTGGCACCAGCGTGAACCAGGAGAAGCTGCCCAAAGTGCAGTGCTTCGACCCTGGCCAGAACCGCTGGACGGTACCTGCCAGCTGTCCCCAGCCCTGGCGCTACACGGCTGCTGCCGTAGTGGGCAACCACGTGATCGTGATCGGGGGAGACACGGAGTTCTCGGCCAGCTCCGCATACCGTTTCCACAGCGACACCTACCAGTGGTCCAAATTCGGGGACGTGACTGCTAAACGCATCAGCTGTCGCGCGGTCACATCTGGGAACAGGCTGTACGTGGTAGGGGGCTATTGCGGGGCCCAACGCTGCAAAACTCTGGACTGCTACGACCCCTCCTCCGACACCTGGAGCAGCGTCACTACCGTGCCCTACTCGCTCATCCCCACTGCCTTCGTCAGCACTTGGAAATACCTGTCTGCCTGAGCCTTGCCCCGGGACTGGAACGGTAAGTTCTTACCCTCCACACTGACCCCCTGGGACCTCCCTGCTCCAGCAGGGCACAGAAGCAGACAGGTTAAACCTTCCAGGCTGTGAGATGCTGGCATGGCCTCTCTAGCGAGGGCTGCCCAGTGGGGGAGGGAGCCCTACCCAGCAGCCTCGCTGTCAAACCCCAGCTTTCAGATGTGGGAGAGCCCAACCAGTGAAGGAGGAGGAGTCCCTCTAGGCCGTAGGGTATTAGAGAGGAGGGCTGTATACATAACAGGAGGGGGAGAATGCTCCATCTGGCATCTCTGCACTTCCCCAGAGTCCTATCCCATATGAAGCCTTTGGGAAATGCTGTTGGCAGATGGGATTTGATGTCCACGCTATGGGACAGCCCGGCTTGCTGATCACTATGTTATGGAGCAGCTCCCAGTCTGTCTGCAACAAACGGCAGGAGCCCAAACTTAGAGCTGGTTGCCATAAACAACAGACTGGTTTGTTTTAGCGCAGGCTCCTCCGCACGGTGCCAGGGTCAGTCTGCCAGGAACACTCAAATAGCATCACTTGCGGGGATAGGAGAGCTGAGGCCAGTTCAAGATTACAGCTGGGATTTAGTCCCAGTGTGGCTTGTAATTGCATTTGTAAGACAAGCCCTGTCTACATATAAACACAGGGTCTCTTCCTTCTAATTATCCTCTGGTCCCATTCATGCCACTTACCTCCTGCTGCAGGAGCGATTAATTTTAAAAAAGTTGGAACAGGAATTAACCCTTTCTGAACGCTCGGTCACTAGGCCTTTCATTCTACATCTTACCCATGATCCTGTGTCCTTGTGTCTGGATGGGTTTGTTAGATACAGCCAAATATTCCCTGTAAAATCCTGCGCCTTAAAGGACATTCCTTTTCGGATGCAGGCAGGCTTGCTACGCAAGGCCAGGTTGAGGGGAGTGGACTCACCTTGCCAAATGCTTTCTTTGTAATGAAAGAGGTGCTGGGCTTTACGCAACGTTATTTTTACATTCATAACTGATGCAGCAAGCCCAGAAGTGCCGGGGCTCAGCCCTGGCACAAATTAAGCACTGACCTTGCCTCAGTTTCTGGTTTCAGTGCTTAGCGTTCTCACGACAGCCCCTTCTGCGTTACAGGTTTCACCAGGAGCAACAAGTTTCATGTTCCACTTCACCAAGAATCGGCACGCAAGACCTGGGCAGAAGAGCACAACCTATCAAGTCATGGGGATGCCCCACAATCCAGTCCTCCTTCCCGCTGGACATGGAACCCATCAGCACCAGGCATGCAGGGCAGGGCAGGACAGTCCCCTTGGGTGTCCATTACTGGTTGCAAAGTCACATTGGTTTCGGAGGGCTTAGGATAGATTCTAAAGGGAGCTTGGTGGGCAAAGCTCCAGCCAGGCTGGCTGCCCGGCTCTCCCTGGAGAAGCTGATGGGGAAGGACAGATTTTCCATTCTTGCCCTTTCATGCAAGGGATCTCCTAGCAGGAGCTGGGGGGATGTAGTCCTTTTCCTTTACAGACATTGTCAATGCAGGCAGCAGCCTAAGAAGGGAGGATCCCTTTGTGTTTCCCACAGCTGCCCCTGCACAGCCAGTAACGCCTGCTGTCACCGGGCTCTGCAGCACTTTGGGAGGCAGGTGGCTGTGTCACAGCTGCGAGTGAGCAAAGCAGTATTTCCAATGGAACACTTGTTCACTGGCAGGGACAGAACAAGATTCCTAGCCAGGAGCAGCTGGCCTCTGGGTTCTGTGGCAGCACCAGTGACAAGTGCATGAAATGTCTTAACACTTTGTCAAGGGCCCCCGAGCTAGTTCTGTACCATGTTTTTTATACAGCAGCCTGGAGCTGCTTCAATAAACCATAATAAAACCCACCGCCTCACTCCTGATTGGGGTTCTTCTCTCACACTCGCCAGCCGGCCCCAGAGACAGTGTTTAGCAGTAGCCGAGGGGATTGCACAGTCCAAACCCCAGCATGTGCTGGCATGGGCAGGTCACACATTCACCTTCCTTCTCCGATGGACACGTGACGCAGGGTGGGATGGAGGGAGCTTTACAGGCGAGAGACGCTATTACCCGCCTCTCACAGTCCTTTTCCCCTGGCAGGGCAGCGGGGGGGGAGGAGACGTGCTAAGAGCTAATGCTTCGCTGTTGCACTGCCCTGCTGCTGGGCACTGGAAGGAAATACAGCATTTAGGAGCTGTGTGAACATGGCTGCTCGGTGCCCTGCTGAAATCACCTTTAGTTCCTTTTAAGGCGGCGGTTTGTGTTCAAGCCGAGTGATTGCCTTGAAGGGGCTTCATGTGATCTCAGGCCAGAGCCCCGGGGCACCCCAGCTGCTCTGCGATGGAGGAGGGACAAAAGGTGGTACCAGCTGGGAGGCTCTTTCCAGGGGCTACATGGAGCGGGAGCTGTGGGCCGCATGTAACAGTGCTTGTGACACAACCCTTCTCCCTACAACGAGCCCCTCTGCGGCGGGCAGGGCAGGGCAGGGCCTCGCTCAGTGTCCGAGCACAGACGTAGCGGGGGTAGAACCCCCCGGCCCCCGGCTGCCCCTTCCCACAGGCTCAGCTGCACAGCCTGGGGCTAGGTGGAGCCCTGACGGCTCCTATTAAAACCGAGCTCCTCTGCAGGACTCTGGTTTGCATCAGCAACCGACGCCTGCTCGCCAAGGAGCCGCTGTGCTGGCTGCACGTGCAGACGCGTCTAAGAACAGCACCGTTTGGCTGAAAAACGTCTCTCCTTTGCCCTCGCTCTGTCTCCTGCAGCAGAGTCAGTGCTGGGCCCTGCTGCTGCCAGCGAGTGGAGTCGGGAGCAGCAGCCCGCTATAAAGATTTGGCTGAAGTTTAGAAACACCAGAACTTGTTCACAGGAAGCAAACTTGGACGTGCAATCAAGTGTCTATGGGGGAAAAGCGCAGTGTGGGTTTGAACTCAATGTCACAGGCTGGGCCCAGCCCGTAGGCAGACAGAGAGCCTACTGTGAAAGGGAGGAAGGGTTTCTGCATCCTCGTCCCCTGAGACGCAGGCTAGTTTAGGGCTCCTGCCCCCTGCTTGTGTGCCAAGGTTCCTCTCTCTGTAACCTTTGCTCCCGCGGTGTCTCCTCCCTCCCTTCTGAGCCTGCAGCACAGCTGGGGGGCCAGGCGCAAGGTAGGGAGAGGAGCCGGCAGCCATCCTGGGGAGAGTCAGCTAGAAACGCAGTCACAGGAGGGCTGCAGCTCTCTGCACCTGCTGGCTCTGCCATTGAGCAGGGCAGGCAGGTACCAAGGGGGTGTCACAAAGGGTGAGCTGAGGCCTCCGTTGCCGGACCGCTGCAGAGCCGGGTTCCCTCCCTTCCCTTATCTAATCTCAGCTGTTACCGAGCAGGAAGCTTCTCCTTCCCCTTTAAACCAGCGGCTGCTTTCAAGGGCCAGGCAAAGTCCAGCTTGACTCCAATAAGCTCAGACACTTAAGGTTTCATTCGGCCGTTTGTGTACCCCTGTTTTGTTCATGCTGCCAGGCAACGGAGCTCAGGTTCCCAGCCACCTCCCGCTTTTGCAGCAAGGACAATGTTTTTGCTGCTGCAGCACCATTGAGTCTCCGTCTGCTTCCTGCCCTGGGCGCTGGGATGTTATCTGAGCTCTGGGCACAGCGTTTTTCTTTGAGGGTCACTTCTCCTGCTGGAGCCTTCATAAGCATCCACGAGTCATTTCCTCGCCTTGCACTATCTTTAGAGCTAACGCTACTCTCATGGGGAAAGGGCACCGGCCTCCTTCTCTGTGGCTGGATCCGTCTGCCCGGAAAAGGGCCCTGGCTGCTGTGTAATAAAGACAAAAACTGCAGTGGGTCGCTCTGGCCTCCTTGCTATTCGCACTGAGCACTGTCCTGCCCCCAGCTCTGCCCTCTCCCCTGTGGAGTGCAGCTTCCAGTGCTACACAGGGGACACCCAGGGAAGCCTTAGCCCCATTATTTACTGTGTCCCATGGGCCTCAGTCGTGTGCAATGCAGACCTGCTTTCCTGGCTGGAGATTCCAGCTCCTCTGTTGGCATCTGCACATGGATCCACTTGGGAGCTGGGAAACCCATCGTAACCATTTCAGCACCCGTTAGACTGAACGGGCGGCAGTCCTTCCGCGGCAGCTGCAGATCCACTTCTGCTCCCTGGAGCAGAAACCCACCTGAGCGAACCATACGAGACTCAACCCTGCTCGAACCAGACAGCCTCTGGCACGGGCATAGGCTCCCACGGCTGGGCGTGGGCCTCCCCTTAGCCAGACTGGTCCCATAATTGGTGCAGTGTTAATGTCCAGGCCTGATTGTACATGAAGCCCCAAGCACACTGGACCGGACTTGCACAGCTGCCCCACAGCTCAGTTCCAGGAGGCCCCAAAGCTGCTGCAGCTTCCCTTTCCGAGTGGGTTTCTTTGGGTTGGGTGATTGCCTGGATCCGGATGCTCTGGGCCTGGCGGGGGACATTTAAACCGCTCCGCAGCACAAACCAGTTTGCGGACGTCAGGAAGGAGCAGGGAACGTTTCAAAGCAGCCGCCCCGTCTGACCGATGCCAGCACAACAGCTGTGGCGCCTGTTCTGTCAATCGCCAGCCAGGCTCTAGGATCTTATCAGCAGCTCAAGGATAGCAGGTTAATGAGCAGCCAGGCTATTTCCAGCATCTGAACCAGCTACTGAGCAGTCTCAGTGCTCAGCGCAGGCCAGCGGCCAAGCTCCGGTGCCCCAGTGAGTCACCGCCCAGCTGCTAGGCCGGGCTCTGTGCCAGGCTGTGAACCTCGCTCAGCTGAGCTCTTGGGCAGGTGGCAGCAGAAGCAGGAGCTGGCCCTGCACAGGACAGTGTTTCGATTACTCCCCAGTCACTGGGTTAGCCCAGGGACTCCCGGGAGCCAGGTCCTGGAGGGAAGGCAGCCCTGGGAACCACCGGGGCCATCTCAGCTATGAGCAGCCACAGGCTAAGAGCCCCCTCTCCTCCAGTAGCACTAAGCCTCCCGCAGCCTTATACGGACTGGCTCCCAGCCCAGCCGCTCTAGCTGGGTGGTTGGGGAGAGGCAGTGGGAGTAAGCAGGATGTTTATCGAACCCCCTGGCCTGCCTTATCTGGAGCACTTCTAAGATCAAGGGAGTCCCTCCAGGCAGCAGCTCTCTGCAGTTTGTTGCCGTGCACCAAGGCTACCCGCTGGGCCCAGGCCAAGCTCCGGACAGGAAACAACACTAAATATTTCATAGCAGTTATGGGCCCGGCCCCACCCGAAAGCCAAACCTGCCTAGCGTGTTGAGCCAGTCTGTTCCCTCTCTCCCTCCTTCCCTGTGCACGCTGCTGTGCTGGGGACAGAGCTTTACACAGTCACGCAGCCCCCGCATCCCCTCGCAGGGACCTGCCGGTGCAATCCAAGCCCTGTCCGCCAGCCTCAGCACGGAGAGGGGCAGGACAAAGGCTCGGGTCTGGCCCCATGCAAGGGCAGTGCACAGACCCCGCTGGGTCCGGGTCTCGTCAGCACCATAGTATCTAGCACTCGCTGGCTCTGACTGGGCCTGGGGAATAGGAGCGTCCCCCAGGGTTCTCCAGGCAGCCACTGCTTTGTCAACCAAGCCCTTTACGCTGCAGGAACCCAGATCGCTTGCTGGGCCCAGCAGTCCCTATTCTCCCGCCCCACCTCGCTGGAGGGCTCCAGGTGCCTGCTGAGGAAGCACAGCCTAGGAGCATGAGGCTTGGCATTCCCTCCCCTGGGATGTGAGCAGGGAGCGAAGGCCCCTAAACAACTCCCAGACACAGGTTCCGCCTCACCTCAAAGCCGCCTGCGGCGCTGGCCCGAGCTGTGGGAGAAGTGGCCTGTCCCTCCAGGACCGGGATGTCCTACAACAGCCGTGCTGCAGCAGAACAGCGAGACCCTCCCTGCATAGAGCCGGGCAGAGGGCTGCACTCCTGCCAAGCGAGAACAAGGGCTGTACACCTCACGGTCCTGGCAGCCCAGCCCTGTGACTTCACACTCCCATAGCACGTTCCCCCCACAGCCTGGGAGCTGCACAACCAGATTCTTAAATACTGAGCAGGTGCCAGACACTAAACAGACCGACCCCCCTCCCCCATGGCCACATGCCACACAGCCAGGCAACTGGCACACGTGGCCCGTGTTCAGCAGGAAGTGGAGCCGTGGCAGCTCCTCGAGTGCCTCGTGCAGCCGGCATTCAAAGGGCCAAGAAATCCCAGTCCGCAGAGCAACCAAGTCTTTCTCTTTAAATCCTGAATTTAACAAAAAGCTGAGACGCCTCAGTCACAGAACCGGCAGCCGAGCCTCGGCTGAGCTGCACAGCTGGCCCTGCCAGCGGCCCTGGCGTGTGGGGCCTCCCTATAGCTAACAGGCTATCGCCATGGTGCCTAGTTGGACCCCACACCGCACCTGGCCTGGGTGGCTGTAGTACGGGGAACACGCTGAGTCGCAAACAGCGGCCTCAGTTAGAGAACCAAATGCTGAGGCAAACGTTCCCACAGTTCCTCCCCTTGGGTTCTCAGCTGCACCCTGGGAGTCATCTCCTGCTACTGGCCCGTGGAGGACATACCAGGCCAGCCCTGCTGCTCTCAGGCTGGGTGCCCACGTGATCCGTTCTGATAGAGCAGTAATGTTGGGACCTCTCGCTTCACACGCAGCTCTGTTCATTATTCATCATCCTCTGCTGCCTTGTAAGCTAGGGCTGGAGATGTTCCTAAGACGCCTCTGCCCCTCATGCTTAGTTCTGTCCTGATTATCCCTTCCCAAGAGGCCCTGTGCTGCAGCCACCATCCTGCTAGCCAAGGAGAGCAGAGGATGCTCCTTAATCCTCACCTTGAGGGGTCTCCATTACATGCCTGGGCCACGCCAGTAATTACTGGGCATATGATTTAGTCTTGTCCAAACGTTACTGAAGGGAAACGAGCTTTCAGGTACCCGGCGAGGCATCTGTCACAGAAATACCGGACCAGCATCATCCATGCTGAGCCGGCCGTCACACCTCAGGGGTATGCTGCCTGCCAGGCCCCCCTCAGGCCAAGGTCAGCACTGGATGCAAAGTGTTCTGCTTCCTAGAGGGAAAACTCCATTTGAGCCAACTCTGGAAGACTGGACTTTGTATCGGGAAGACGTGGCTCTGCTGAGGAGCTGACACTGTAAATAAGATGCTTTCTAAACTCCAGTGACCTTGGGGGGGGGAGGGGGGTTTGTCGAAGTTATACCCGCACTTGCGCGCACAGAGTTTATATTGGGTGTGAACGATTAAGTGGTTGTGTTAGTCCTCGCTTTGTGTGGGGCTGCTACCTGTTATTCTTTCTCTCCTCTAACAGAGGCACAGAGAGGGGGAAGTGACTTGCCCGAAGTCTCAGAGCAGGTCGGGGGAGGGATGGGAATAGCCTCCCATATTGTATTTACTGTTGTTTTCTCTCTCGTCTTTTTGTTCTGATAATATTTAAACTTGATCTGCTGTGGAGCTCACTGCGCAGTTAAGAGCGGACCCTCCATCACCCATTTGAAATCCCTTGGAATATTGTAGCCGTCGCGCATGGTGCCAGCCTCTGGGTCTGTCCATTGATCTCAGCCCTCCGGGGTAGTTGGGGTTACTTCATATTGCTTAATTCATGTTAAGAATTAAAGAGACATCAGACTTTGTCTGGAAAGCGGTGATGCCTGTTACTGTCCAGAGGGCTAGGGGCAGGCCTGGCCCATCCCAGGGCACCCTCCCGAGGATGTTTCAAGATTGTAGTTTTACTCTCAGCCTTTTTGAAGAAAAGCAGCCCTGGAGCAGAATGCAGCTGTGGCCTTGTCGGAGATCCCAGTGCCCCTGGCCCGATGCCATCCCTGTGACACTCCAATGCTGCCAGCTGCCAAGACACGTCGCCCAAAGCACTGGCAGGTGGCACTTACCTTGGGGTGGAAGGGTCCCTCTCTGATCCCACCCCACGATGCCAGAAACAAGCACCTCAGACATCACCCCTTCCCTTGTACACTGAGCAGACTGGCCCCCTCCTGGGGTAAGAAACTGGACTCGTTTTGATTCAGAGGTGAGGAAGCAGCATATTCCCCCCTCAGCAGCACAAGATGGACCCAGTGCTCTTCAACATCTGGCTCTCCCGTGGCGCTCAGATGCACGTGCAGCCGAGCCTCCCCCACATGAAAGGGACCATTCGCAGCATGAAACTTGTCATTCCCCATGGCCCATGTGATTCATCCTTCCAGAAGGGGCGATGGTTGGGCTGGAGTTTATTCAGTGTCCGATCTGAAATGAGCGAAGGCAGGTGGAGCTGCTGCCCTTGCTGAGGTACGAGGTTTACCGGTTCGGAGTCTGGCTCTGGGGGGGACTAACCGGGAAAGCTTGTAACAGAGCAGCTGTCCAGGGGCTTTACAAACACTCTCCTGTGAGGGGAGGCCAGGGCCGAAGTATCTTTATACTCATTTTACAGAGCAGCAGTGATTTGCCCAGAGCCTCACCACAAGCCCGGAGCAGAGCTGAGAACAGAGCCCCCGGGGTCTCCATTCCCAGCCACTTTCTCTCGCCATGGCCTGTCCTTCGTGAAATAGTTATCTGCCACTGCCCTGAGTCTCCCTTGGGCTTTAGTGAGTGTGTTGTCGCTGGCAGAAAGATTCCCTTCCCGCTGCCTGACTGGCACATCTGCATGACAGATGTGGGTGAGCAATTTCGATGTAACCACCAGCAGCATGAATTTATGGCGGACTTTCAGCCTGTGCTGCAGGCTGGAACGGGCCCCCTCCTACCCGGCTGCAAACACTTGCCAGTCACGCCACCGCTCTAGCGGCCTCCCAATCTCTTTGGCCCTCCTGAGCACCGCAGCCACCTCGTTTCCAAACCACTTTCTCCGTGCTCGTTTCGCCAACCCCAGCCCTGCCCTTCTTCCCACCTCTCTCCCCTGGGGTCTTCGCTGGGACGCCCCCACACTGCCTGGGACACTAAAGGAGCAGCTGTAGTTCGTGCAGGTCATCCAGCCCATCTGCCCCCACTTTCCTGCTTCCCTGCAGCACAGACTAGACCCCTGCACTTTGCCCCATCTGCCTGCAACCTGCTCCAGCAATGGGGACGTCAGCACTTCTGAGAGGCAGCTCCCTAGTCTCACTGGCAGCAAAGTCCTAGTCAGCCTCAGTTTTCCTTTGGCCACTGTTTGTTGGGCTCTTGCTCTGGGAACCAGGTTCCTCATCTCACCCCCCGAGATCTAGCTGGGAAGACTCCAGCCCTACCAGCAGCACCTGCCCTTTAATTCCATCCATAAAACAGCCCCTCCCCCAGCTGTCACCCACCAGAAACAGCAAAGCTCCGTTTTCTGCTGCTGTACAATATTTAAAAAAGTGAATCTTCACTTGCACTTTGGTGAGCTACCCCCCCAAACAGGAAATGCATAGAACTGCCACTGCAGCTGAGCACCGAGAGGGCTTACCAGGGGCCAGAATACGCACAAATGAGACTCTGATTTGTCCTCAAGGCAGATGCAAGTACGGATCTATGTACAAGCCTTTTAGAGCTCCATCCTCTGACGCATCACTCAGCTCTACCAATACATCCATCAGTGTTGACATATGCTGGGAAAATACTTGGGGACCCTCAATCTAACATGAACTTTGAAGACCCACAACTTGAGATGCTAAGAACATTTCACAGGTGAAGAGTAGCTCCCAACAGAGACAGAGCCCAGATCCCTCGATACCACTTTGAGATTGATATGATCTTAGCGTTATCAGACAAACCTAATAATTCAGAGTCTGCTACATTCACACACATGTATGCACATCTGGACAAAAGGGTCCTCAGCAGACTCCGTATGGAATGGGTGAATGGAAAATGCCTTCAGTCTGCTGGAGTCCAGGAACCCGCTGTTGCCTTCCCTCATTTTCTCTGGTCTAATCCCCTGAGCCTCAATCCCCTGCATTACCTAAGGCCAAGGCAGGCTGACTGGGACTTCCTTTGGAGTCTGTCCAGACTGAGTGTTGTGAGGTGTTCCCCGCTGAATGCACATCGTCAGACCTGCAGCAGGGGCCGAGTACTAGTCAAACGAGTCCCATGCTGGCAATACCCAGCAGCAGCCACCAGGCTGGCACAGAAAAGAGTTCAATATGCTGCAGATGGAAACTGACTGAAGCGGCACCAGCAGCATCTCAAACCAGACTGGCCCAAGTTGCTGTCTGCCAACGTAAGGTAATTTCCTACCGTCCCACTCCCATGACTATGGTGTCTTTCTGCCATTCTGGGACCAGACCACCTTCGGGAGGCTTCAGCCCTTAGAGATCTCTACACTTGTCAAGACCCTTGCACTTGCCCTGACGCACCATATGCGTCCCCCTTCTTCTGGGCAGCAGATGTGGTGTCACTAACACACTAGGAATTTTGTCTGTAGGGTAGAAAACCAGATGCACATGAGAAATGGCTGCTTCTCAGACCTGTTTTAGGACAGCATTGAATCTTAAATTGAAATAAAAGTGCCTCCAAGCAGCTAGTTTTTGAGGGTATTTTTATTGCTGGAAGTTGGTTTCAGATCTATTGCCACTCTGAAACCCTTCAGTGGAGAAACATTGCCATCATTGAAAAAAATCAATGGTTTGGTGTGCTCAGATCACAGTTACAATTAACCAAGACGTGCACAATTCAAGAGAATATTAACATTTAACCATTGACTTTACAAATAAAATTAAGGACTACAAAGAAGTTGAATTACTGAATTATTGACAGAGGAACTATTTACAATGTTTACATCCTAAAAGGAAAACAACCGAGACATTCCCCCAACAAAATCGTCAATTTAAATCCCATGTAACCATAAATCATGATTATTCATGAATCATTGCAGCGCAGGGTACCTTTAAACCAGACCTAAGACTAAACAGCATTAAGACAGTTCACAACTCACTGAGCGAGATACAACAGGATTTACTTTCATGAGCATTTACTTTGGGACAAACAGAAGAGGAATTTAAAATAAACCTTCCTAAAGTGCTCCAATTTTTTTCAGTACAAAAATATAAAACACTGATTGGAAACATGGCACAAATGGAATTCGACAAGTAACATGCACACACCATGGATAAAGGGCAGCTAACGATTTCAAAGGTACTGGACTGGCCTTGAAGCGGGGGACAGGCTGTTCTCCTGGTTTCTCAATGAGCAGAGTTGCAGCCATGGCGGAGGTAAAATCTACTGCAAAGGGAGATTTAAAAAATGCTGAGAACTGGGAAGACGACAAAATACTCCTGCATTCTCTTGTGGAGAGGAATCTATGCAACGAACTGGTACGTCACTCACTAGCATTAGCAGAGTCTCAGGTTAATTAGATTCTGCAGGATCAGGTATAAGGATTTTTTTTTAAATTATTTTTAAACCATATTCCAGTCTAATATGCGACTTTGATTCTAGGTGTTTTGCCATTTGCTTTAACAAGTGCCCTGAATGGACTCAAACAGTCACCTGCATCTGGCTACAGGACTAAAAATGGAGGACAATTTAGAAAGGCGGAATTGCCACCATTTCTCGGAGTTACCCCTGCTTGTCCAGGCACACTGGTAACTGGTATGCAGTGAACAGGCATCTCCAGAAATCAGCAACTCTTCCCCCCACACAGGACACTGATTTCAAAAGTCAACTTGCTGGACCTGCTGCACCTACAATTCACAGCTAGGAAAGTCAGTTGCTAACAAAGCCCTTAAGATAGAGTGTCAGAGTGAGCGCAAACTTGATGAAGATACTGGAATCTAAAGGCATGAAACATGAAGTGACAGCAGTTTGAACTGACAGGAAAAAGGAAGCAGCCTTCGGACTGGATTTTAAAACTGAAGATCAAAGACTACAAGCAACCTTAACATTTCAAAGCCACAATATGAAACACACACATGATCCGTAATGGTAAGGCTGGGACACAAAGCGAAGAACACCCAAGTAGTTCAAAGGTCCCACTATACCTCAGGGCAGTAAAGGACCAAAGGGTGAGTTCAGGCAGGAAGGGCGGCATGGAGCTTCTGATTTGTATCAACAGTATTTAAAAGCAAACATTGGGTAGTGAGCTTCCCCCCTCCCCCCACTTAAAATAAGTAAGTTCTTCACTAAAGATCATTAGGAATACGTCAATTACCCCAGACTTGAACAGCATCTTTAGAATCTAGTCTGCTTCAGGAAAAAAAATTGTTTAAAAACTAGTGCTGGGCGAAATACCCCAAATGAGCTATTTTTTAACAACAACATTTGTCTAGTGAAATTGGAGGAATTTAATGAAATTTCAAGGCCTCTGACTTAGCAAAAATGAACAGGTGATTTTTTTTAATTGCCTTTTCCCCTCAGCTCCACACAAATGATTTATTTTGCATTTTGGAAAGTGAATGTCATATTTTGGTCTGGAGCATTGGACAGTTACAGATTGTGCACACACTATCATTAAGATAGCACCTCATTCGCTAATTCACCGTCACGCCTCTTCAGGCCGGTCACCCTACAGAAAAATTACATCAATGCCTAGCTTGGCACTTAAAGAAACAAACAAACCGGAGTTTGACTCAAGAGACCAAGAGTCAAAGGGGTCCAGTCACCACACCAGATGCATGCACCCTGCACAAATGCTAGCAGCAGTGAGACGTGTGCACTGAGGCAGATGCTAACTCTTAAGGTAGCTCCTTAGTTGTGGATTGAAGGCCCCATCAGGGAAGGAGCCCTAGGGATGCCGCCCAAGAGGCACCACGTCTGCTCACTGGTAGCTGCAATCACTTCCTGGGAACAACACTGATAAAGCAGATGTTTGAAACTCGGGTTATATTATGATGAGATCTCGTTACAGACCTAGCAGTTTCAGGTGTCACTCTTCTACCTCAGAGCATTTATTGCAGGGAGGGGTGAGGATAGCAGCAGCTAAACAAGCTTTGTAGACCCATACACTATTTATCTCCCACAATGTTAGAATGACACAAATCAAATGACGTAATTGTTTCGGAAAATGGGTTTAACACCCCCACCCCACCCCCTGGACTGGGACCACGGACGTAAGCGTAGCTCCTGACACCAGGGGTTCTAAGGGAATGGCCGAAGAGAGTTTCAGCTTGCAGTCCTGCACGCCTGCTGCTTTGATGTACGTTCACATAAGGAAATGTGTCTCTCTCTTTTACACGGGGCTGGAATTGCAGCATCAGCAGATCAAATACAGAAATCAACCCTTACTGGGCAACACACTGGGTCACAACGCCGCAGTATCGTGATGCCAGCACCAGGCAGTCTCTCGATGTGACCGACCAGCTCTCTGCCCCTCGGCTCCATAACAAACTGCACAAGCTCTGCAAGGCTGCAGATCAGCAAGCAGCACTTCAACACCACAGCCAAAGGGGCCTGATTTAGAAACAACTTGTCTCAAAACAAAAAAAATTCAATAGGAGCGTCTAGAGGACACTTCTCTGGAGACAAACCAAACGACTTGGGGCCTGATTCTCTTCTCACTTACACCAGTGTAACTCCACTGACTTTAATGGCATTGCTCCTGATTTGCACCAGAGAGGAGAATTAAGCCAGCAATGTCGAAGGCAGCACCACAGGAGATGGCACTTGCTCAGCACAGCAGGCACAGTGCCACTTGGCTTCCAAATTTGTGTTTTCTCCCTCACTGATCACAGACTTCCAGTATATTTGAGTTTCCCAACTGCAGCTGAGCTTGTTTGGGGCAATAATCCTACTTATACCATTTAGCCACTTTGAAACCAAGACGGTATTCTGCAGCAAATACTTTTGACACTTTGTAAGACCTCCTGGGCTTCCATCATTGAACAGTTGACAATACTTGGGCTGAATTGACGTTAGTGCCATAGAGTATTTTATTTGCAGGTCACACGTGCTCTGCCCGTTCAGAGGGACAGCTCGCGTTCCGCTCAGGCTGGAATAAAGCAGCATATCCCAATGCTTCTGGTTGGGAAATTGTCCTAACTTGTGCTGAAATGATGTTAGCCCGGATTCTGTGCACCCAGTCTCCAGCCATCGGACTTTGGGAAGCATTTCCCAAGCTTCCAAAGGTCGAGAAAGACGTTTCCTTTCCTATGGCATCGTCCCCTCTGAACAATCCCTTTGGGTGCATATCATTGTACGCAGTATATTGGACCAGACACTTCCATGTGCAGGTTACATGTTCATTAGCTGTAGTGCATATTCAAGAACTGAGACACACTGGAGTCCTGTAATACGCTGAATGATTTCCCGAAATGCACATTGCCATTTGAGCAGAACGGTATTAACTTTGTCACCATTCCAAGATTCGCTAAACCCGACCCATCCAATAAGAGGAGATGTCAAAGCAGCTGTAAGATGATTTAGTTAATGGTAAATTATTCTAAATATTCCTTATTCCCTTCATTCCTGACCCAGTGCGGCAGAGCACTCTCGGCAGTAACAGCAGCTTTGTTACGTTCCAGTCCTTAGCGTGATGGCCACTGAGGTGGCAGACAGACAAAGATCCAGGAGACAAGAGGTTAGACAGGACAGTAACCAACTGCATGCTGAACCAGCTCTTTATGGTCAGCATCTTCAGCAGGAAGAAAACCCCAGACTCAAAGTTAATTTTGAACCAACACACTCACAGACATGGAGATGGTTCTCTACTTGATGTGTCTTTAAGGAGCCTTTCCCGAAGAGGGACATCAGACCTAGTGCAAGCGATGGCCAGGGAATGTGCTCTCCTAGCACAATTATTCATTACCACGTTAGAGAGTTTATACATGTCCAACCCTTTGCTGCCACAACTAGGGGGAGTTTTTTGGCCCTTGGATTTTCTGAATGTTAAAGAGGTTTACAGTCCCTCTTACATTGTGCATGTGCAGTGAGCACATGTTCCGCTGAACTCATTAGAAGGTACAAGATGCTATTCCTTTCATGTGAGTGGCTAGCTCTCCTCTGTCACGCTGGTTGTGAGAAGACTGGCTTGCGGTCTGGCTAGTTATTAAAACAAAATGAATAATCCATTACACTGATCACTGCTCTGTAAAGACAGAATTAAACTTCTCAGCCATTTGAGGGCCTATTGTTAAAACTTCTACATAAAAAAATCTGAGCGGCCCAACATTAACTAAAACTGACTTGCTTTACAAGGTAAAAGATCTACCAAGAGCTACTGCGAATTCACCAAAGAGAGCAAATTACAGTAGATGGCAACATTTGAACAGGCTTTGAATTTATACACCTAAGCCATATAAAATCAATACTTTCTCACGCTTGGAAAAGTGTGTTACTATGGTGAACTCATTTTGAGCTGTCAGTAGAGAAGCCAACCAAGCAACACTGAAATCCTGTTCCACTGGATCAGTGGTGGAAGGACATCCACAATGCTGAGCTTCCATTCTTTGGAACGGCATGGCACAAGGACCTCCTTGAACAGGAAACGCTTAGAAAAAAATGACATCTTCCTTGCAGGTATCGTCTTCAGCATTTATCAGGGCTGGCGGAGAGGCCACCAAGGTGTGGACGTGAACACTGTTGGACTTGGATGGATTGACTGCTTCGGGCTGGCTGTCAGCTGGGCTGTAAATCTCTAGGGGAGAAAGAGGGAGAGGAAAGACTCACCAGAGTGCACAAGAATGTCTCAGCACAGAGAGGCTGCTCACTGCTCGCTGGCAAGACTTACCTGGCTGGAACGCAATGCTCTGGCTGTTCGGGAGGACCGGGCTCGCTGACCGTCTGTTCTTCAGTGCACCCTCATCTTTCCCAACAAGTTTAGGTGTAAGCAGTTGTTTCAGGTCAACAGATGCTGAAAAGAAAAGTTGCTTTACACATCAATCTTGGTAACATTTTGCCAACTCCACTGTTTCAAGCCTGGGTTCAGACACCTATACCCACTACCCCCTCCTCACACATTCAAAGGGGCTGTACTAATAAACTTACTTTACTTCTTCAACTGCTCAGACCATGAGCATTCACCCTCCCTCTCCCCCACCCCGCAGCTTCTATTTAGTTACACACAGACATCCCAACTCCCAAGTGCCCCCCCAAGGACAATTGAAGATTTTAATCTATTTTTATGATGGTCTGGTATAGTCAAGAAACACCTTTGGCACAGACACGCAGAACCAAAATGGCTCTTGCCACTCTCCCGACTACAAAGGTCACCATGAATCTACCCGTGCTCCTTATCTGCAATGCAGCTGCAGCAGTGAGGAAACACAGCTGCTCTGATGGGCTAGTTTGCCAATATTTTTATTCCAAAAGTAAAAGCAATCAATGGGAATTGAATCATTCCAGTCCCAAAGGCCTCCACATCCCAATGCCCATCCCTTACCTAGCATCCTACAAGCTAAATTAGACACACAGTTCTAAACTATATGGCACTGGTGCAGAAAGTCTTGCTACATTTTATTCTCAGATCTAACATCCCATTAGTGCTGATGAGAATAGAACCCAATAGGTTGGGTTTCACACCTTGCTCATAAGCTGATGAAAAACTACTAAGTACATTTCCACTGTACACATCACTATGTAAAAGCCAGGGTGGATTTAATTTAAGGGTGAGGGTTAGGTTAACCCTAGGTTTAACCCTAACTCAAATTGATTTAAATCAATCAGGAAGACTCGATTTAATCATGGATTTCTACATAAAAATGTATTCTTGTTGGTTGTTATAGCCTTAATACATATTCTTCACAGGTGGAGGAACATAATTAAAATATTCCCAAACTGGGTCCCTTTTACAGCCTGCTGCCATTATAGGTTTTCCCTTCTAGTGAGAGAATGGTATGGTAGATCTCAAATCAATGAAGGCTACAGTCAGAAAGACCTCCAGACTTCTGGAATATGCTGCTCAAACAGTTTCACTTTTGTTTCTACTGCCTGTCCCTCCCTTCTCACATTTATCTCCAGACTTCTCCTTTTCCAGATCTCTTCCCCCAGCAATCTTCTATTCATTGAACTTTTTGAAACTTTGCACTTTTAGAGAGAGGTAAGGGACTGACTGTGTACACAAATCTGTAAAGGGACAATAGGGTTGAGGTCTGTTATTTCTCATCTCTTTATATTTATTTGTAAATAAACAAACATTTTTGCTGTTAACAAGCATGTTATCTCCGGAGACACAAATCCAGTTTGAGAATTGCAAAACTAAGCATCTCTGATGGTATCTTCTAGACTGAGCACTGAGTCCCATTGGGTAGATAGAAAGATTAACCTAAATAATCTCTACAGAAGCCCCTGGAACCCCATAAGATTGGGTCCCTAATCCATGAACTATTGGAATTTATGTGCAAAACTTTTCTTAAACATTACATGAATATATTGTCTCATACTATAGAAGCAGAATTTATAATCCCTATTCCATGAGATATCTTTGAGCTATAATGTATCTATCTTTAGATAGGTTTTTCCCTGAAAAAGCATTTTATCCAAAAAATCTGATTTAAATAATTTTTTAAATAATTTTTTTGATTTAAAAAAAAAAAGAATTGATTTTTATCCACCTTGGTAAAAGCAATTTAAAAAGATCAAGCTGGGGAATTGTACCACTACAGCTTTGTTTTCTCTGTTGCCACCACTTGGTTCAGTGGTGAGGGGATACGAGGTTACAGGTATGTGCTGGAAATAAGCCAATTCATTTTATGAAAATAAAGTTAAGTTTAAACACCAGTACTATAGGAGAGCATGGGTGGAAGATGCCTCCACAATGCACCGGGAGAAGCCTGACACTATCCACGCTACATAAACATGGACCTGTTGGATGTGTAAACTTGCCAGGACAATCTGGCATGAACTAAAAAGCTATTTATATAAAACTCAAAACTAAAGGCTGTTCCATGCAGCTGGAAATAAAGTGCTTTCAAGTGGCTGGAAAACTGTGGTTTTTGCACTGTCTGTCATTGTCAAAGGCCACTATTTTAGTACCCAGCTCTTAGAAGCAGAAATTACACCATGGCATTGTGACTGCATTTATAATCCTTTCTATTTCTGACAGAATTCGCTCTTTTTAGCTCTGCAATACATTCAGCACCCTTGTTCTGGCCTGGAGATTCATGTTTACAGTGTGAGAAACATTGGCAGATTACTGCATTTCAGATTCCAGGGGAGAAGACGGCTAGGTATTAGAACCAGCAGCTTTGTACTAGGAAGTGCACATCTTCCCCTTTGGGATTTTCAGAACGACCTTTGCAAGTGAGAAATCTTCCTGGACAAGCCATTGCCCGCAGGGAGGTGGGGGAAAGCCAGTTCTCTCTCATGCCGGGGTACCCAACAACGGCGAGGAGGAGAGGCCCAGAATATTCCATACACCACCATGAGGATAAGAGACACGCTCGGCAGTCACAAAACAAGCTAGGATTTGGGGTGAGATTCACTCAGAGTTGTTTAAATGTGTGTGCGCCCAAAGCAGAGTTGGATGCTCTATTTGCGACCCCCTCCCCCGATTTCCACATTCAGTGTTACAGCAGCCGAGGACAGGGTCAGGGAGACATAGGATTAAATCAGCCTTAAGTTCCATGCTGGGTTACTTAGGACATTCAATTTTCAGCTACATTTCCACCCCAAGCAGGGTCCTAGTGCTTTTTGTGGGTTATGAATTCCTGTAGGGGTTGTTTGGCTGGATGGAGATGGCCAGATTTGCTCCATATGGTGTTGTGTGCATCGGTGATGTCAGCAGAGCTCAGAGATGTGCTTAGTGCACTCACCTGAGCTGTCTGTCCTGTGCGATGCTTTGCTCTTCCCCCCCTTTTCTTTGCTTCCTTTTGTGAAGGTGGCAAGCTTGGTGGGGATTTGCTGCTGAACTGCAGCCGGTTTCTGTATCTGGTTGGTTGCACTCAGCAGGTGGATTGGCACTTCGTTCTTCATTGCAAGAACCGGACGATTCTCCAATATGGCACTGTCCCTGCGAACCAGCTCTGGCCGCTCCACATAATCCATTCCCAAGACACTAGCCCTCCCAGAGGGCTTCAAGTGTGGCACAGACCCTTCTAGCCCTTCTCCATTGAAACTGACGGAATGGTTCAGCATTTGACTCTAAATGAGAGAAGAATTGTGTTACATGAAGCTGATACCTCACATCCCCCAAGGACTGAGAAGGGGAGGAAACAAAAGACACACACCTTCCTGTGGCCAACACCGGGACCTCCCTTATGCTACCGCACAAAAGAAGGGGCAAGAAAAACTCAGTCTGCATAAATCTTGGCAAACTAAACAAAATATCTTGGCAGCTTCGGACCTTGCTTAATATCATCCCTAGCAGAGGGCTTCGAAAAGGACCGCTGGTTGACAACAAAGTGCAAATAGGGCAGGAAGTTTAAAAAAAAAAAAAGCAAGCAAACAAGCCCGACAGATGAGGCTGTGGGCCAGCAAGTGGGGCAGTGACATGAGATCAGAGATCTGCACTAAGAATGGGGAAGTACAGCACACACCTGTGTTACAATCAGGCTAAGAACCTCACCTACGCCCACAGACATCCAGCAGGCAGGTGTGCTCTGGGCTCAGATAGGCATTTAAAACAAAATGGAGTTTTAAGGCTTTAAGAAGTGTCTGGGCTGAGCTACTATCACCTGCAACTCTGCCTGGGGTATCCAGGCCTGTTGTACTTCTACACAGCAAGGGAGCTTGGGCACCTATTTTACAGCCCTGTCATTTCAACGCTGCCTGTTGTGGCTGGAGTCCTCCCCCTGGAGCGGGGCTGAACCAGTGGAGCTGGGGGCAGTCAGAGGCAGAAGGTCACAATTTGGAGGGGGAGCATGTTTTTAGAATTTAAAAGCACAGAATTCAGGAAAATGACAGAATGTCACCACTAAACCCCTCTAGTGTAATCATCTCCATGGCAGAGTTCAGTGCCTTCGTTTAACAAATCCTATTGCAGCCATAGGACCAAATGCAATTTCCTCAACTTCTATCACATGTTCCGCAGAACGCTTGGGCAAGTTGCCAGGCTGAATCACAACAAGACCATCTACCCCACTGCCTTGTCTCCCAGAGTGGCCAGTACCTGCTTCTTCAGAGGAAGGTGCAATGACAAACCCTGCAAGAGACAGCTGTGTCCCCAGGGAAAGTTACGTGGTTAAGATGTAGCAACTGCTGTAAAGAAGCGAGACTTCCGTTCAGAAGTCTATGTGAAGGTGGCAGTTAGAAATCAAGCTTCCAGCTTCAAGAGAACTCAGTCCTTCCTCAGTATACATCTGTTAGTCTTAAAGGTGCCACAGGACTCTGTTGCTTTTTACAGATCCAGACTAACACGGCTACCCCTCTGATGCTCAGTCCTTACCTGTCCCATTTCTGGGGAGAACACGCCCGACACCGTATTCTGTTTTTTCAGCTTCTTTAGCTGCTCCACACGCTCTCTCTCTTTCTCAACTGCTCTCTGCGCTTCCCGTAGCCTCTCCAGGTCATGCTGATAGGCCTCTCGTTGTCTCTCCAGCTCCTCCCTCTCCTGGTTCAAGCGATCCTTCAGCTGCCGAGTCTCCTCTTCTCGCTCCTGCAACCGTGCCTCTATACTTTCAAACTCCCTCTGCTGCCGGTCCCTCTCCCGTTCCCAACGCTGCTGTTCCACCTTCAGCTGGTTCTGAAGCTTCTGTACATTGGCCAGTTCTTCTCTCTGCTTCTCAAAGTTGCGCTGCTTTTCCTGCTCTAGCAGCAGGTTCCCACGCGTGGACTGCAGCCGATACTGCTTCTCCCGATCGATGATGGTGGCTCGCTGGATTTCAATGTAGCTGTCCTGCTGTGATATCACTGCCTGGAAAAAACAACACAACTCAGTCATAAGACACATGGGCTTGAAAAATACAGGAGAAGCGAGGTCAGAGACTGCATTGTCTACCAGTGTATAAATCTCAGAAGGTAAAGAGACCTATTAGGTTACCCAATCCATTCCCCTTAGCACGAGAGGGCTAAATTCCCACTTGGAACCTGTGGTTGCCATTAACTTGGTACAACATGTGACCGTGAGCCAAAAAAACTAACTTGCATCATTCAAAATGATCCATCTTTTGAACCTAATTATCAGTCTGTATCTGACGGGATTATATATACACGTCCACATAGACGTGGTGTGTGTATTCTAGAGGGTCATCGTGGGAAGTACGGAGTATCTCAGCAGTAAGGAAACCAAACGGAGCTCAGAGAGGTCGAAAGAAGGGAGCAAAGGATTCCATCCTATAAAGGCAAAGGGGGCTAGGCTGCCTCTGCAATACTGGGGATAGCATTGGTTACTCTGGCACCCAAGTCTGAGACAAACCCTGCAGCCTCCGCAGGACCTCGGTCGTTTCCAGTGCTGTACTAAACGACCATCACTACCTACATTTCAGCAGACTGATTAGTTCAGCTTTAAACAGATCTCTTGGATAGCAGCATTTTACCTGAAGGCTGAGGAGCAACTGGGACAGCCTCTGTATCCGTTGGACAAGCTGAGGAAAGAAAAAGGCATTATATTCCGGGGAGGTTATGGTGGCAACATTCAGTACTAATCTGTTGTCCAGCTAGAGTATCAGTGCCCACTAACACCACGCTGGGATTCTGGGCAGCAATCCTCCTGTTAGGCTTTCCTCAGTTTAAGGACTTGATGCTGGTTTCCTCCAACACACCTGCATGGAGCTATGACTCACACGCAGCTGCTCGAGCCATCTCTCAGAGACTCAGTTTCACCTTAGTGGACTGAGAGTGAATGGGAAGTAGTTAGCTCACTATACCTAAAACCCATCTTCATTTTCAGATTGGATTTTACTCTCTGCATTGATTATATCCAAGTAACTAACTGCAAGGTCCAGGTTGTTGACAAGTTTCTGAGTCTATGAACATTAAAATGCTATATTTTCTTTTGTATACTATGGAGCCAAACGTCACTCCTCCTTACACGGTCTTAAAGCACAAACATAGCATATTCTAGTACCTCAGATTCCAGGAGGGGCTGAAAACTGCTGTTGTAATCCAGTCTCATTACATCACTCTGGAAAAAGACAAGCAACAGATGTCCTAGAGCATACTGTAGATAAGAGCACAGAGCTCTTCTCAGCGTCAGTGCACACAGGCTGCTTTGTCGTCACGCTCTCAACTTTACAATGGGAGCAGGCATATTCAGATGGAAATTTTACAACCACCATTTCAATAGAGAACATTTGATTAGCCCTATTTCAGTTGGGCAGTGTCAGACCCATTTAAAGCACTGCAAGCGTTTGCAGACCTAGAAGACCATATTCCTTCAATACAAGTAAATAGTAAAGTACCATAGAGAAATAGTCCAATAATAATTTATTTCTTAAGTATCAAAAGAGAATGTTCTTGTTTTTTAAAAATTCATTTTGAAATGGATGACTAATGCTGATAAGAATCCAATTTAAAGCAATGAGTCACATTAGGTTCTATTCTATGAAACTCCCCAAATCATTTTAGTGCTAAGAACATTAATTGGAAGAAAAAATGAAGCACAGGGAGTGGGACCATTACAACACACATCTCCTGATACGTCACAGTGTGGCATTACCTAGATGGCCTTAATTAAAGGCAACTTCCCCAAGGGCTCTCACACTGAGGAGGGACGTGGGAATTATTTTAGTCAAATTCCAGGTTGAAATAGATGCACAATCATTAAAAACTACATGTAAACAGTACATAATGCACAAGCACTACAAATGTAAAAGTTGCCAAAGTAAGTACATGCCGATTCTTGCACTTCAAATGTAAAACTACAAACCACGAGTTCAACCTTAAAGAACAGTAGTCTTAATGGAGCCAACTTATTTAACACGAGGTAGGACTCTGCCAAGGAGCTGACATTAGCAGCTTTTGGGACTTCTGGTTTTCAGTGACTTATTCTCTGACTCCACCATGTTTGTCTCGGACTACCAGGATATGCATTTACAAGGGGGAGTGAAGACTAACGTACTGTGGGAGGTCCTTCTTCTGCATCAAGAGGAAGATCTTGGAGCTGCACATCTGAACTTATTGCAGGGCCTCTCCGGTCCCTCAGCCTCTGGTCATTACCACAGACCTTCTTCTTAAAACTACCATCTGAAAAAGAAAGTAACCCAGTCAACACACACCAATCTGTGCAACACTGGGTACTTTCTATTAGGAAAAAGATGTAAAAATTGAAACAATTTAATGGGCAAAAGCAGAACAACTCTGGGGTTGGAAGTTTGTATAGTTTTGCAATTTGTTGATTTACTCAATCACCATCAAGATCATCGATCGGACACTCAGAAACGTGCATAAGCCACCAACAATGGAATGGCCGCATCAGGATTACCAACACCAAGCCATCTTACCATCCACGTTGGCAATTTCAACAGCCATCATAGCCTATGGGGCTAGTACCAGAACGACTGTGCTGGAGAACAGCTGACATCCTGGGCTTTCACCGAAAAGATCAGTAAGGTGACCAGAATGCCAGCTCCTCTCACTAACACACTGGGTCTGCAGTCCTGCACTGGATCCCCAAAGGCCCCACAGTCTTACTTTTGTTTGGCACTGTGATGGTGCTGTCATATCCCCCAAAGGTCTCCGCTCTCCTGGGTAGCCCCAACCCACAGCTGTCTTCAGACCGACCGGTCCCGTTGGCTAAGTGTGTGAAGATCAGGTTCTGGAGATTCTCAACTAGGGAAGAGGAGCACAGGTCATTTTAAGGAGTCATGTCCATACAATGAGGCATTGGCACCATGCTATTATGTTACGTATACAACCATTCAAAACTCTGACATGCATCTAGAGATCAGACTGAGCCTCTTTGCAGCACAGACGTATTTTCCCTTACCTCATACTCTGAAACCGAAAGATGCATGTAAAGATGAGGCCTCATCTTCAAATGGGGACTCAGGTCATTAGGCCAGTCTGGATGGACTTTCAGAAGGCTAAATCAAGGACTCTTCACACATCAGTCACCAATTAAGTTGATGTTTGTTATCTGTGCTCATGCCATCCTTGCTCTCACAGGCAGCCCAACCTCCCTTCATTTGGGACCCTTGCACAGTATTTCAGTGCACGCTGGCATGCTGTCGGGGCACTCAGTAGCCACATATCTGAACAGACTCATGTCTACGCTCCATAATTTGATCTAACTTTTAAAAAATATTGTTGTAACTTGTAGGGAATGTCCACATCACCCATTTCACAGGAGGGCTCTGAGAATGTAGAGTCTGAATAGCACTACCCAAGTACTAACTTTTTAGATACCATTAAACCCCATAGCCTCTCTCTCTTTATATATAGGACCTATATTATCTGCAGCTGTATCTCTCTACCTACACACACAAACACACGTTCCTGTTTTGCACTTACTTTCTGTCACTGCAGATTTCAGGATCACCTCTCCTTGCAGATTCTCTGAGGTCTCCCCCCTGAAGAGGAGTTTGGATCGGGCTCCTTGGGAAAGATCTTCAAACCCATTCATTTCAGACATTTCTAGATAAATCTGTTGTTTCTCATTTAGATTTTGCAAAATCAGATCATCTTTCATGCTCAGACGGTCTAGGGGAAAAACAAACTAATTTAAACCCTACAAAGCTGTTTGTAAAATCAGTATCAGAAACATAATGCTAATTCCAGAAGATCATATTGATTTATTTTGTATTTCTTCTGTTTGTTTGAAGCTCTTACTATCATAAATGGCCAGAAAGAGCCAAATGGCAGAAAAGGAAGCAGATAAAAATGGCCAGACTGGGTCACACCAACGGTCCATCAAGCCCAGTATCCTATCTCTGACAGTAGCCAGTGCCAGACGCTTCAGAGAAAATGAACAGAACAGAGCAATTAGTGAGTGATCCATCCCATTGCCCAGTCCTAGCTTCCGGCAGTCAGAAGTTTAGGGACTCTCAGAGCATGGGTTTGCATCCCTGACCATCTTGGTCCCTATCCTCGCTGAATTTATCTAATTCTTTTTTGAACCCGGTTGTACTTTTGGCCTTCACAACATCCCTAGGCAATGAGTTCCACAGGTATGTTATATGAAGAAGTACTTCCGTACATAGGCACTGACTTCCCCTGTCCCCGGTGGGTGCTCAACCCCCCCCACCACCCCTTCCCGTCCCTGCATAGCCCACACCCCACCCCCATTCCACCCCTTCCCCAAAGTCCCCACCCCACCCTGCCTTTTCCCACCCCAGCCCTGCCCCCTTCCCCCAAGTCCCTGCCCTGCCCCTTCTCCACCTCCTCCCCTGAGCGCTCCGAGTCCCTGCTCCCGGAAAACTCTGGGAGGGAAGGGGAGGAGCAGGGACACAGCACGCTGCAGGGGCAGGGGGGGAGAAGGAGGCGAGGAGGGGGGAGCTTGGCTGCCGGCGGGTGCAGAGCACCCGCTAATTTTTCCCCGTGGGTGCTCCAGCCCTGGAGCACCCATGGAGTCAGCGCCTATGCTTCCTTATGTTAGTTTAAAACAGCTGCCTATTAATTTCATTGGGTGACTGCTGGTTCTTGTGTTATGGGAAGGAGTAAATTACACTTCTCAATTCACTTTCTCCACACCAGTCATGATTTTATAGACCTCTATCATATCCCCCCCCCACACACTTTGTCATCTCTTTTCTAAGCTGAAAAGTCCTAGTCTTTTTAATCTCGCCTCATATGGAAGTTGTTCCATACCCCTCATCATTTTTCTCACATCTCAACAAAAAGTGAGAGGGATTTTTTAGATGTGTTATTTAACAGCAGGAAAAGCCCAATTTACCTGCAATCCTACAATGGTAGTTTGCCTGAAATTATCACAGGATGGGATCACATTCTTAGTCATTAAGTGTCCCCCAAGAATAAGAGGGTCATGAAGAGTTAGTGATACTAAGAAGTTGTTCACTGGATGCTTGCATAAACCATTACCTTGAAATTCTTTTATTTTAGCAACTCGTGCTTCAGCCAGTCTCCTTTCTTCTTCAGGCTCACTGAATGTTCCTTCCTCTTCATCAGGGCAGCTATAAAACGAGGCAAGGCAGGAGGAGATTGATTTGATCTATGCATAGATAACCTACTGAAAGCCTTGGCCCAAATCCTGCATCCTTGCTTGGGAGGTGCTTTATCCTGCAGCCTGTTTGTATCTCGCATCCAGAACGCTACTGTTATGTCAGGTAGTGGGCAAACACGCTTCCTAGGGAGGCTCAATCTTCTGACCAGGTCAAGTTACTGACAAAGTTACTTACAAAGAGCATGAAATACAACAGCAAAAACAGAAAACTAAAAGATAGTAAAATCTATCTGGCCTCCTGAGAGAAGCCACACTGACATGACTAGTATATACCTTAGCAAGGATGTGAAATGGAGCATGAGGGACCAGGTTAGTCAAATTTATCTTTACCCCACAAGCAGAACTTTCAGCTGTGCTGAGAAATCAAACACACAATCAGGAAATCAAACCCTCCAACTTTCAGTCATAATTTACCTTTCCACAGCTCTGCGAATGTGCGCCATCCAAGAATTTCTCTCTTCTTTGGAGCTGGTGTGAATTTCATACATCTCTGGTCCTTTTAATGAGGCACTAATTAAGAACATTGCTTTCTCCTCGTTAGCTACCTCTCTTACAATTAGCTTTTGCAATGAAATAACTGGTGGCTTAGAGTCCTGCAGAACAGAAATATAAGTTGATGTGTTAAGTTTTGCTGAAGCACTAGATCACACAGCATCTTTAGGGTTAGGGTTTCTTGTCTGTCTGTGACCAAAGAAGACAAACTGCAACGGTGCAGTTCTATTGCTGGGGCCATTTTATATTGCACCCGTGCATGGCACAGAACAGATGAGTCTCAAGGACCTACATTCTAAAAACATGAGACTTGCGAGTTGTGAATTTTGGCTCTTCAGAGTTCCCCAGGAGGGAGGGCAGCATGAACTAGTTTGGACTTTGCTTCTTTTGGCAGTAATAAAAACAGAACAGGGAAAAAACCAACATCACTGGACATGAATATAAAAATGAAAGGAGAGAACAGCAGGAAGCAATGGTGGTGCCAAGTTGGCAGGTTAGCTCATAGGACAGGGCTAGAGAGTCACCTTCAGGTTTAGGAAACTGAAACCAGATCCAAAAGGTAAAACCCTTCTTATAGAACATATTAACAGCAACTCTCGGTGATAAACGGTTTCCAAAAGGGTTATATCTGTAACTAGTGTCCCTAGCTACACTTTGTATTTCAGCCAATGTACATCACTTAGATAACCCAGCACTAGGGGAGAAAGGAGTGATTTTGCAGGCTGCTGAACATGCTCCATTTCCACTGCATAAATCCTGAGGGGAAGCAGAGGGGATTCCTGAAACTGTGACATCAAGAAAACTAAGTTTTGCCAACTGTCCTCGGGCTCCCATGCAAGCTGTGTGCTGGGGTCACTAGGACAATGCAGGAGAGCCGGGTAGATCGATTCACTCCCTTCCCTTAATTTATCTAGGGGGGATTAATATTTAGCTTATTTTAAACAGATCCCATACATATAAAGGTGCCAAGAACAGATCAATCCATGACTATGGACAGAATATTCCCCCGGGCAAGGTACCCTCCACTAGGGATTAGAGATTTGGGGTGGTGACGAGAGGTTGCATGCTCTTTAGCATTCTAACACACGATATCTAGGTTCTTCTGTAGCAGGAGTTCAGCTAGTGAAGTAGATTTGCAAATACAGTAACAGCCCCATAGAACACAAAGGCTGCAAGCCACACAGAGGGGCGGAGGAGGAAAGTCAAACATTTCTCATGACAACTATCCAAGTGCTCCAGCTGTAGTTTTGCAGGTATTACATTTGGGTTTAACATTCAACCTGAATGAGTATGTTTTGGGAAACAGACCAGAAGCAAATACTCCACTCTACTCCAGTGCTATAAAAGTCAAACTGTGTGTGTGTTGTCATGAATGGATGAATATGATGTAAAAGCCCCGGTGCAGCAACTTTACAATTAGACACCCCAATTCAAGAAAAATACCTCTACCCAGAAATCATAGGAATATGCTTAAAATTTTAAGTACTTGCTTAAATCCCATTGAAGTCAAGTGATACGTTTGCCAGGGAAATTCAGCCCCAGTCTTGATATGTTGAAAAATATCAGGACAAAGTAAATAATGATTTAAAATAAAAAAAAACCCTTTCAAAATTGTAATTAGTAAATCCTGTTACAGTCACAACTGAACTTTGGTCAGTTCCAAATGTACACGTCTGTCCTTCACTAACAAACTGCCCTAAGAACCACTAGGAAAGGCCCTGAAAAACAAGTGAATCCACCAGTGCTCCGAATTGCTGCAGTAATTACATATGGGTTAGTGCTCATTACGTTTACATAAGAAAATCTCAGTTGCCAGCAGTTCGGAGGCTACCCTAGTCACAGGTTACCATTTCCCCAGATGACATGGCAGGGTTTTTTCCTTCATCAAGCCTCAAATTAACACACTGAAGGAGAGCTGAGCAGCAGTCTCCCCCTTCTCTAAAGGTCTGTTTATCGGGGCCTTTCAAAGCAGGGTTCTAGCACACTTCCTCATATGCTGCCAGCATACACAACCCAGGACAGAACTCAGCAATACGGGGAGCAGTGAAAAGAACACAGAACAGTGCTCAATGCCACAGAAAGTGAGAGAGTTTGCTTGGGTTAGTAGTTCCGTACCAAGAAAAGTTCTGGGGCTGAACCAGGTTTTGCTTATGTGACCCCAAGATACCTGGTTTGTTTTCTAATCCTATTTTTCTTTCAGATATTTTCTCTTTTTGATTCTTCTAAGTGGGTGCTCCTGCAGCTCACAAGGCGACGTTAGTTTAGAACAAACTCCGCTCTCATTACTCTTCTGTTTCTAGTATGTACAATGACACGTGCACTTCCAGTGCTGACAGATTCCCAGCCCACAGAGACGGAGTCTCCATATTAGCTGGTATATGGGTCTGAATTCTATAGACCAGTCAGGCATGTTTGTGCAGTCCCCCAGCACAATGAGGCCTCGATCTCAATGGGGGAGCTTGATCACTACCATAATATACATATTTAATATGAATACCACTACCAACATTCTTCTTTTACGTCACTGTCACTTTCATGAATATTGTGACTGAATATGAATATTTTAATGAAGCAGAAAAATACATACCACAGATGCAAAAGTATATTTTTGGTCCTTTTCTTGCAACAGCAAAAGTACATCAGTTAACAGGACAGCCAGAATATCTACCAAGGCAAGAGGAGAAAAATGAAATGGTTTTAAAGCCAAAAGACTTGATGCAGACAAGCAACCACTTGAGTGAACAATACAGTGTAAATGTCAAACAGTGCAGATGTTTTACAGAGAATGTTCTGGTACCAGAAGCCTTTCAGTACTATTCTACATTGTGATGAGCCACTTTGTGATGCAGCCTACCTGGATGGATTATAATCAAAGCCCTGTGTACTCCGTACCAAGTTAGACCTCAATTATGTGGCAAGGACTCTCATTTTCTGCAGCTTCATTTTAAATAAACAACAAATGGATGCTTTTACTAAAATGAATATAGGCAGTAAAGTAGCCCTTGTGTTATTTATTTTATATTGGTCATAAGAAAGGCCTACTGGCTCAGACCAACGGTCCATCTAGCCCAGTATCCTGTCTCTGACAGTTGTCAGTGCCAGATGCTTCAGCAGGAATGAACAAAACAGGGCAATTATCAAGTGATACGGTCGTCCAGTCCTAGCTTCTGGCAGTTGGAGGGCCAAGGATATCAAGAGCAGGGTTGCGTCCCTGACCATCTTGACTAATAGCCATTGATGGACCTGTCCACCATGAATTTATCTAATTCTTTTTTTAACCCAGTTATAACTTTTGGCCTTCACAACATCCCCTACCAACAAGTTCCACACGTTGACTGTGCATTGTGGAAAGAAAGACTTCCTTCTTTGTTTTAAACCTGCTGCCTATTAACGTAAGAACTAGGGTTACATGATGAAATTATGTGAAGGGGGTAAACACACTTCCTTATTCACTTTCTCCACACCATTCATGATTTTATTGACCTCTGTCATATCCTCCCTTAGTCATCTCTTTTCTAAGCTGAACAGTCCCAGTCTTTTTAATCTCTCCTCACATGGAAGATGTTCCATACCCCTAATTATTTTCATTGCCCTTCTGTGTACCTTTTCCAATTCTAATATAGTTTTTTTGAGATGGGATGACCATAACTGCACGTAGTATTCAAGGTGTGGGTGGACCATGGATTTATATAGTGGCATTATGATAGTTCTGTCTATTTATCACTTTCCTAATGGTTCCTAACACTGTTAGCTTTTTTGACTGCTGCTGCACATTGAGCGAATGTTTTCAGGGACCCAGCCACGAGGACTTCACAATCTCTTGAGTGGTATCAGCTAATTTAGACCCCATCATTTTGTACATATAGTTGGGATTCCTTACTTTTCACTTAACATTGAATTTCATCTGCCATTTTCTTGTCCAGCCATCCAGCTTTATGAAATCCCTTTGTAAATCTTCACCGTTAACTCTGGACGTTACTATCCAAGTAATTTTGTATTGTCTACAAATTTTGCCACTTAAGTTCATCATATTCACAAATTATCTGGAAAAAGGCATGAACACCACAGGTCCCTGTACAGATCCTTGGTGGACCCCACCTTTTACCTCTCTCCATTGTGAAAACTCACCATTTATTCCTACCCCTTGTTTCCAATCTTCCAAAGCCCAAGTACACTACATTGACTGGATCACCCTTGTCCACATGCTTCTTGACCCCTTCAGAGAATTCTAATAGATTGCTGAGGCATGATTTCCCTTTACAAAAGTGGTGTTCGCTCTTCCCCCATGTTCATCTCTGGGTCTGATAATTCTGTTCTTTACTATAGTTTCAACCAATTTGCTTGGTACTGAAGTCAGACTTACTGGCTTGTAATTGCCAGGATCGCCTCTGGAGCCTTGTTTAAAAATTGGTGTCATATTAGCTATCCACCTGTCATCTGGTACAGAGACTGATTTAACCAATAGGTTAAATACCACAGTTAGTAGTTCTGCAGTTTCATATCTGAGTTTCTTCAAAACTCTTGGGTGAATACCATCTGGTCCTGGTGACTTATTCCTGCTGAATTGAGCAATTAGTTCCAAAACTTCCTCTACTGACATCTCAAGCTGGGACAGTTCCTTAGGGTAGGTCTACACTTTGCTTACCGCCGGACCTGGAGGTAAGCAATCAATCTTCTGGGATCGATTTATCGCGTCTTGTCTAGACGCGATAAATCGATCCCGGAAGTGCTCGCCGTCGATGCCGGTACTCCAGCTCGGCGAGAGGAGTACACGGCATCGACGGGGGAGCCTGCCTGCTGTGTCTGGACCTGCGGTAAGTTCGAACTAAGGTACTTTGAATTCAGCTACATTATTAACGTAGCTGAATTTGCATACCTGAGTTCGAAATGGGGGGTTAGTGTGGACCAGGCCTCAGATCTGTCACCTAAAAAGAATGCTCAGGTATGGGGATTTTCCTATACCCTCTGCACTGGTACGATATGAAGGATTCATTTAGCTTCTCTGCAGCACTATTGTCTTCCTTGAGTGCTCCTTTAGCACCTCCATCGTCCAGTGGCCCCACTGACTGTTTGGCAGACATTCTCCTTCTGATGTACTTTGAAAAAATTTTGCTAATAGTTAGTGTGTCCTTAGTTACTCTTCAAATTCTTTCTTGGCCTACCTTATTACGCTTTTATACTCGACTTGCCAGAGTTTATGCTCCTTTCTACTGTCCTCTCTAGGATTTGACTTCCAATTTTAAAAGGATGCCTTTTTGCCTCTAACTGCCTCTTTTACTCTGCTGTTTACCCATAGTGGCATTTTTTTGTTCTCTTACTTTTTGTTTGGGGGCAGGGGATGGGTGGGTAAGATGTTTAGTTTGAGCCTCCATTATGGGGTTTTCAAGTAGCCTCCATGCAGTTTGCAGGCAGTTTGTCTTTATTACTGTTTAACCTCATTTATGTGTAGTTCCCCTTTTTTTAAAATTAAATGCAGCCATGGTGGGTTTCTTTGGCATTTTTTCCCCTACAAGGATGTTAAATTTATTTACATTATGGTCACTATTATCGAGCGGTTCAACTATATTCACCTCTTGTACCAAATCCTGTGATCCATTTAGGACTAAAAAGCAAAACCACTTAACTGTCATGGGTCAAGTCAGAGGCTGACTAGCGGGGGCTTTTGTCCCTAAGAAGGCATGTTAGGCAGTTTGGGATCCTGGGATAAGATCAGCAGGTTTCTGTTAAAGTGATCAGTAGTGAAGTAATTAAGAATATTGACATTTAACTGTAATTAGCTGGGGTTGAGATTTAAAACCTATTGAGAGGAATGGAGTAGATCACCCCACAGAGCCATTGTTACTGCATTGCTTAAAAACATGACCTGAGTGTAAGGGTCATTTCTACCACAACAATCTTTGTAAATAAGGAAAGCTTAGATTCTGGAGCAGGTTCTGCAACCAGGTGGATTCCAAAGCAAATTCTTTGGCAACATCAAATACATAGGGCATTGATCATACTTATTGCTCTCAGATACTAGTGATAGGCACTGCCTATATCAGAAGATCAGATATAGATTAGACACCTATCTGCAGCTCCATGTAGTTATTTCTAATGCATTATGATTATGGACCTCCATCCCAAAGAAAAGCTTAGGTTTAAAGAAGCAAAAATTTTAAGGTAAGTGGAAAAAGTGGAAATACTTGCTAACTATTCACAACTATTCTAAACACTGTTCAACAGGCCTTTCATATGGTCAGCATTGCAATATCAGGTACATTATTCCTTTAAATTTGCAATGGTCACATACACAGCCCGATCAAATGCACTTTTTGCAGGAATACAAAAGGAACACATTAAAATATTTGCAGAGTTCTGAAGATGAAAAGTTCTCCTGAGGCACAGGTTAACACATAAACCCAATCTGCTCAAGAGGGAACATGCCTCTGTCCCAGAGCAAAATCTTATGGAACTGTGTGAAATCCACAGGCACCAGATACCTCTGGCTACATGAGATGAGCCGATGAGGCTCTCCCCTTGTACTCTTCAGCAAACAAGCGGTTAACATGTTCAGCTTATGGAAGCCATTTTGATTTTCTGACCAGTCAGTCAGTTGGTGGAAGGAAGGTGTCATGAGGTTGACATGACAATTTTTCAAAGTGTGAACCGGAGCTCGCACAAGATAATGTCTTTTCACAGGAGTCTAAGAAGGTTTGACTCAACACCTTGTCATCTATCTAAAGATCTCCCATTTGAATTGGGCAGATTATAAGCAAACTGCATAAGGAACTTATCGTGTACCATTACAGAGTTGCTTATTTGACAAGTCAGGAATAGAACAAGTGCTATTTCCTCCAGGACCCTATGAAACTAGCAGGTTATCATCATCATCTGACTTTCTACTCAATCGATCAGTAACAAACAAATGGAAATCTTGTTTTCCAGTTGTGTTTTTCCCCCTTTTCAGCTCTTTTATTTACCTTTGAGCCTCCCTGATGCGGCTTTCCAGAACAGCATCCCATCCAGCAGGAGCTGCCGCTGCCCCATGTCATTCTTCCGGAAGAGCAGCCCATTCTTGAATTTCCCTGATGATTTCAGCTCCATTTTGTACATAATCTCTCTAAGACGCTGCCTCTTCTCACACTCATTTACCTTGGCATCTACATGAGTGATCATGTCCTTAATTAAACTGAGTGCCTGGGACAGATCTTCATAATCCTTAGTGCCAGCTATAAAGAGGCAGAGTGTTGGTTAGTCTTTGCTACAGAAATTAAGGAAATAATTCATAAAATGAAAGTTATTTAGATTTCCAGGACATACAATGCCCCTTCTAAACAAATCCCAAACATCACCTAATGTGACAGGCTCTGTGCTTAGGAGTTCAAAGTGTTTCTCTGTAGCCAAAGTCTGAAAAAAGCCAAAGCATCAAATTCTGATCAAACTAAGAGGCTAAAACACCAAGATTTCTTGTCTTTAGAGTTAAATCTAATGCTGCCCCTGAGCCTGATTTTTGTGGCTCAAGAACAACCCTTCAACTGATAAAGGAGTGAAGCGGCAGAGCCTAAAGGGAGTCCCAGACAACCCTCCATGTTTAGAAGAGGGTGGTGCAAAGGAAGACAGCCAGGGCAGAGGGGGCAGGTATTACAGGGCACCCCATATACCTTCTGTATTCTGAATAATACGCTCCACCAGCACTGGGTACTTCGTAATGCGTTGAGTGACTAGGAGGATGCATTCCTGGACACCAAGTCTCCTCACAATAGGAGAGTTACCTATTTTCTAGGGAGCAAAAAACAAAAAAACAACAAAAAACGAGCAAGTGGTTAGACAACTCTACGTGGCATAAACTGCATGTTGTGATACAATCTGCATTTGAGATAGCCCTCCGTCTCCTCCCCGCCCCCAATTACACATTCCTTACCTCTTGAAATTTCTCTTTTATGCAACAAGATCTCCATTGACTACATGACACTGTGGCTATTCTTGCACCACAGCCCCATTAGTGTCAATCACAAACTAGCAATAGGCATCTCTTGCACCCAGCAAACCAAAGTTGTTATTTTGACTTGCATCACAGGAAAAATTTGTTTTTAAATGTTATTTACAGCTAGTGCAACACAGACCTGGACCAAAGCAGAGCAAAATCCAACTTCAAATTGTTGGATTTCCCATTTAACGATGGATTTTCTTTTTCTTTTATAATATGCCCACTTTTAAAACATATATTTATAAACATCTTCTAATCAGGTTCAACAATATAATTGAACTGAATTACACTTGCTACTGAATGATGTATAGGTGTCTCCTTTACCAGGGTTTCTGGAGTTTAATGCTAATAAGTACAGATCCACTTATGAATGAAAGCATCAGAACCCCAACGGTCAGTACGATTCCAGGTACTCTGGGATTCTGGCAGCATAATGGATTACAGATTCATGGATCCTCTCTTCGCAGAAAACAGAATGCACTGCACTTTTAAACTCATTATTTAAATTCTTGACAGTAATGAATTGTCCCCTTTAAAAGACACCACCTAAGAAGATCTAGAATTTAGAACAATAGTGGGAAATACTCAGAATTACTGACCTCTAGGATTTAGAAAATTTCATCCATCTGGACCGTGCAATGTTCCTCTAAGATTCAGGTTAACTCCTTACAAACTGGCTATAGTTAAATGTTTCCATATAGCAGCTTCTTTTGTTCTACCTATGTTAGGCTGCACATTCCAGTGCACAAGAGACTGACATGCCCTGGAGCCAGTCTCTTGATTCTGGAGATATGTCATAGTGGGCAAAACTAGAACAATAGTACCTAGTTCTTATACAGCGCTTTTTATGGTAGATCTCAAAGAATGATTATCCCCATTTTAGAGATGAGGAAACTGAGGCACAGACAGGTGAAGCAACTTGCCTAAGGTCACATAACAAGCCAGTGGCAGAGCCAGGAATAGAACCTAGGTCTCCTGAGACCCAGTCCAGTGCTCTATCCACCAGGCCTCTCTAGAGCGGTAGTTCTCTTGGTGGCCTTTGTTACACGCAAACTGCTCATGGTTCATCTGTAACACAGAGAGAAGGAACCAGCCAAGTAACAAGCTCACACTCCTTTCAGCTTTAAGACTGGTTCAAAACCAAACCCAAGAAATCAGAGATATTTTGCTCTTTGGAAATGGGACAGACTGGGTCACTGGCTGGGTTTTTTACCTTTATTAAGTTTTGGAACTTCTTGCTGCTCTGCAGCAGGTCCTTATAGTGACTGACGGCTTCATTGTGACCACAACAGAACATACTGTATTTTTCTTTCATTCTCTCTCCACTTTCGCCTGAAAACTAATTGGAAACATGAGGAAGGACATTAAATTAGCCAGTTTAAAATGCAGCCAGTTACTCCTAGAGAGCTTGGCTAGTATAACACTCTTGGGTTTAATTAGGCTTTGTGCTGATTGGCTTTTGGGGTCAAATTTCTTTGCTATTCCAGCTTCTTCTCCTGCACCAGAAATAGGAGAGATTGAACAAAGTGGAGTGGCTCAGACACAGTGATGTACCCAAATATTCACTTACTCCTGGCAGAAAGACAACAAAGTGAGTAAGAGCTTCTGGGACTCCAACTCAGAGCTTTTTTGGAGCTGGAAAGGGCGAGGGGGACATCAAATTGGTGGTGATGTAAGACAGTTTCTGTTGCATCATTCCAAGTGAAGGAGAGCATATAGAGTAGCTGAAAAAAGGGAAGGCCAGCTACAGCAAGGGTCTTTATAACCCAAGAGGGTCGGCAATTGATGCAGGAAAGCTGTGTTCAGGAGGGATGTGAGGATTCTCCTTTGAAGAACTTCAGTGGTGTGCTGCTTTAATTTTGGAGTGGACAAGAAGCAGCACCATGCCCTTCCCAGGAGCATGCCATGTTGTGCATAAATACACAAAGGAAATGTTCAACATTTCACACGATTAGGGACCAGCTGCATTTCTGGAAGCCAAAGACAAACGTGGTATTGGAAGGAGCACTTTAAACCCAGTGTTTTGTCAAGGGCCCACTACATTCAAACTTTACACAACCCAACTTCAATATTACAGTTCAGTTCTGAGAAGTTAAATACAGCGTTAACTAACGTTATTAGAGCTTAGTTCACACCTGTTGTACCAAGAGGTCGCCAATGTTCTGGATAATGTAATTCCGGTCACTGCCTTCCTCCAAGGACGCCTTCCGTCGCTCCTTTAATTGAAACAGGAATTGCCCATGCAACTCCAACAATTCATCCACACAAGGAAAGATTTTGTTGATGACAGTGTTCGTGAACTGCAGCTCCTCTCTCAGTGCTTTGGAGTACACCTTCAGCATGATTTTCAGTGTTCGGACATGATGCATTTCAGTCTGCATGAGCTCTGGAGAGAAAAAATGTTAGTCGTTTAGAAATGTTAGGCAGCGGCTGGCCAAGCATCTAGCACAGCAGGCTGTGAAAGTCAGCAGCCATCGCAAGCCACTTACCGCACTTCTGGTGCATGTTGCTAGCAAAGGCAGCATTGAAATAACGATGGGCATCAACAGCTCAGCTATTTTACTTCATTCTGAATTTATAACACACACCCACCACTTCCTACTGGCAAGAGAAACTGACAGACGATATTATACTGTTGTGTGTTGGATGCTGTGAAGTTTGTGCATTCCTCTGAGGGAGTGCTTTCAGTATCCATAAAAAAGCCTTACTTTTACAGTGGTCAGGTGAAGACTGACAGCTTCTATTATGATTCAAGTCAAAGCTTAGGAGACCTTGAACTACTGTAATCTAAACATCTCATTAGAATAGAAACATGGGACATGAGATGCTCTCACAGCTACGGAAGCCACCCTGTGCCTAAGGAAAACTCATTTATGATGCTTTTGGATTTCTCCCAGACAGTAATAAAGCAGCATCACCAGTACGTGCCAAGGACTATAGCGGCAATATACCAGCATGGTAGTGCTAAAGACTTTCCACAGATCAGCTCAAAGCTGGGTATGCAACACAACTGAGGACTGTGCAAATCTGACAGCTAAATTCTCTAGTCTGTCTAAAACTCTGTAGTCTGCATTATGAAGCAGCTGTAAACATTTTGAAGTATGCAGCGCAGAAACAGTAATCAATGTCGACAGCAATAATAATCCCTATTCACGCAATTTGTGAAGAACTTCAGGATAAAAAAAAATAATTTCATTCATCTCTGGACTGGAATCGGGCTAGCATTCTGAACCGGAAACACTTCTTGAAAGGAGAAATGAAGACTCCTTATAATCCAATTAAAACCCTAGAGGGAGTTCTAGGATTATAGGTTGCAATTTGGCCAGGACAACAGGGCTGACAAGCCTACTCTTGCAAAAGGAACCATGGGATCCTTAAGAACATGGAGTCCTAAGTTTAGGTCTCATTAGAAGGATCGTGCCTTCAGCCACACTGGTGTGCATAAAAACACCATTCTGGGGCACTGGATCAGTACTGAGGAAAGATCACTGCTCTACTAGGGGACCGACGCTTTCCAGGGAAATCTTCCAACCAAGTAGTGACCAAGTTTGACCCTGATTAGATTACATCATCTTCAGATCATGGCTCAAGATGGTGGCTATGGATAGTGCCTTGTTTGATAGGTGGAATTTACAGCTTACATTAGCAATCTGAACACCACAATGTAACAAATCAGAACCCAAGTACACAGCACGTCCAGGGGTAGAAAAGGGGAAATCTTCACACAATCCTGGCTTCTAAGCACAAGGGAAAACAGGGAGGCAGTGAAATCACTGAATCCTATTATACTAGTCAAAATAGTAATAGGAGACATTTTAAAATAGAAGCACTATGTAAATGACAGAAATAAATTGTTCTTACCATAAATGACATCTTGCCTTTTCATAACTGCTCTCTTTTGCTCCTTTGCATAAGACTGTTCCACTGTGAGACTCCAAGATTCTGCCTCAAACTCATGAGCATCTGTTTCTATCTCACTTCTCAGAGAGGGAAAGTATACATCTAGATCAAAAGCACATTCCATTTAACTAACATTATGCCCTGGACATATCCGCCAATAACTTTTATGAACATCAAAAGGAGTTAAAACATTTCAATAGTCTCTCTGAGACTCAATTTGTAAAAACCACAGCAGGAAATCCTCAAAAGACAGAAGTTCCATACCTTCCAGAAAAATGGATTCTGCTGTTGAAGGTGCAAGTGAGACAACATCATCTGATGTCTGCTTAAATTTTATAAATCCCGAATCCCCTTCATCCATTTCTCCTGTGATTGGTCTAAATAGCCAAAAAAATTATACAACTGTGTTACTTTAACATAGAATATTAATTTTTTGAGAGAAAAGCACAACTAAATTATCTGTAACAAACCATTTTAATTTGCACTCTTCCTTTATTATGGAGCTAATTTGTTAGAACAAACACAAAGACTATCCTCGCTTTTTGACATGAAATAGTCAAATGCAATTTGGTAATAAACATTGAAACTCGATAGATACATTTCCAGTTTAAATTAAAAGTCCCTTATTCTCTTCTCTTGACCAATCACCTCTTGTACAACTTTTGGTACTACACCTTAAAAGCACCTAATTTTATGTTGATGAACTGGACGGGGCACTGTATTCCCTATGTAGGGTCAAAACTAACAGCTCCATCAGTAAGATGACACATAATTGTAAAAGGAACAGGAGTACTTGTGGCACCTTAGAGACTAACAAATTTATTTGAGCATAAGCTTTCGTGGGCTACAGCCCACTTCTTCGGATGCATAAAATGGAACATATATGGAGGACATAATTGTGGCAAACAAAAATGTGATACATAGCTTTGAAATATCCCTTGATTAAAATAGGGGACTGTTTCAATTTAAACAGCATTGTCAACTACACTACTTGGCCCAAAAAATTCAGGCTAAGAAACTATTCCTAGGTTTCCAGAGACCTAATGGCAAAAGACTTAGATGGACAATAAAGCTTGGGCAAGGGTACTCAAATACCACAATCCAAATTTCACCATAATCCATGGTATTTTATCTATAGCAGAAAGGAACTACAGAGACTTTGCAGCTTCACAAAGAAACAAACAGCTGTCCATTTGGAGAGCATTTCTCAATGCAATTCAGCAGTAAGGGTTCATCTAATACTCTCTACAGCTTGCAATAAATGCATGTCCTTCATTTGAAAGGGATTTAGTTCTGTAACTGTTTTTACAGGTACAGTAGGAAAAACAAAGTGGCTTAAAAGAGAAGCTGTCTACTTACCCAAATTTATTAACAGAAACAGCAGTATTCAATGCAGACGACGAATTTCCTCTTTGGGTGATAGTCATGCCGAGATGCCGAGACAGAACTGGGGTGCCATCCGATCCCAGAAGGGCACTTCGGGGCTGCTCCTTCAGAGAGGCTGCTACAGAAGCAAAAACTGAATTGGTGCTCAAAAAGTGAGGAGCACACTGCAAATTGCCTGCTCTCAAACCCCTCCTCTCTGAACGTGGCTGGAGAGCAGACAAGATCTTGGATGTCAAGAGCTCATTGTCCAAAAAGACATTCTCATTCCATTTTCTTGAAAAAGAGCTACAAAAAGACAGCTCTGGGGGAGCTGGCATTGTGTTGTTTCTGCCACTGCTTTTTGAATTTGGATTCCCCATGCTTGCCACTGGCTGCCCTACGATTTAGGGCAGTAAAGTGGCCCCACAGATGCACTGTTTTTATACTACCTTGTGATCCTTCTAGCTGCCACTTAACGCACTGTATTGGCTAAATCAGCAGGTCTGAAGTGCAGGAAATTGGTCCCTGCTGTGCCCATTTAGTGTGGAAATTACAAAGTATCTTCTCCTTTAGTAAAACACCATAATCTACACACAATTATTCGCACTCTGTTGTACAAGGGCATAGAACATTTCATGTCAAACAAGAAAAATCTCAGATCACAAAAAAACCCAACAGTTCTCGGACATGCTTATTGCTACCCAGTGATTTATACACACACTAACAGATACCACAGCTAAACTGAATTTTAATACTTCAACTTTTCAATTCTTTTAAAATCTATACAGACTGCAAACTGGAAAGATATTTAAACCTATAATCACTATTATACAATGCATGGAAGCCTGTAATAGATATAATTTTTTTTAGTATTAATGCCTGCAATGTAAAATAAGGAACTGGAGACGAAATGCATTAATTTAATCTTATTTTTCATAATGATTTTAGAAAAGTCATAGGTGGAGAAACCAGCCAGACACAATCTTTAAAACTTCACATCGCTGATTAAATCTGCAGCTGCCCTTTCTTCCAAGTGCTCTTAATACCCACAGGAGTGCTCTGCTGAAATGAGAGGGGCAGGAAGAGAGTTGACTCCCAGAAAGAAAAGCCAGAAGAGGAGAGGTGGAAAGCTCATGAAGGGAACTCAAGGGAGGAAGGGAGCAGCACAAATTCCACCAAATGGGGAGCATGATGATGCCAAGGACAGATATATGGGTAAAGTTTTTAAAAACCAGGGATTATTAAATTTAATCACTAATATGTGCATAGAATGGGGCTTTAATTCCATCTTGCAGTTCTGGTGACATGTATAAATCAGTCTTTCGATTGGTGAAGCTACCAAAACACCGCAATGAAAGTACAGACTTTATTACTCCAGGCTACAGAAATTAGTGTTCAGCTAAGCAGCAGATGGATCATGTTCAACTTGCTATTCCAGTGAATATACAAATGCCAGAGATTTCCCCTTGTGTATTGTTTTATTGACTTCCACGCGAGGAGGGCCAATGGCTACTGAATGCCTCTTCAGAGGAAGAGGCTACAAGTCTTTAAATACAAAATCAATTTCAGTATTAGGACCCAATCCCACAAACACTTGATCATAGGAAGAGTTCCACTGGCTTCAGTGGACTAAGTGCCTAAGAGGTGGCAAGATCCAGCCTTTCATGAGAAAATGTGCCATTTATTGCTAAATGTTGGCCTACAAAGCCAGCTGGTTTGTATCAAACCCTGATTAAAGTCCGTGGGAAGATCATTTTATTGTTATCATGAACATAATATTTTAATGCTGTGATCATAACAAAAAGCGAGAATTAAAGAGATGTTCTGTGTCTAGAGGCTCAGTGTTTGGAGTTTTTATCTAGAACAAACAGCTTGAATCTGATTTTCAGCAGTCCTGAATGTCGCTGATGGAGACCCATACATCTGCTAGTCCACAGCACCAACATGGCAACTGCAAACTGATCTTCTGTTCACTTAAGTAACAAATTTGCAACTAAGCCTTGATAAGATCACGTTAACAATCACTCAAGAGAGCCCCAAAAATGAGTATCCCTTCTGAGAGTATCACGGGCGTTTGAAATTCAGGTTCCAGGTGAATTGCATCTTCTCAAAAGTCTTATTTTAAGACAGTGGTGACCTTCCATTAAGTAACAGTGTCTTTGATGTTGCACACTTTAGAAGGTCAGGCTTCTATTCTGGGGGGAGTGGCGAGACACTGGGCTCTACTTATGTCCTGACAATGCCACTTGGAACAAGATTCTGAAATAGGGGTCTCAACTTCCTTCTTTTATAGCCCCCCCAACAGGCTATAAAAACTTCATGGCCCACAACAACTGGTGTTAGAGGGTAGCAAGCAGGACAACTGCCCAGCCACCCACGCCACAGTGGGCATTGAGAAGCTAAGTTGCTCAGGCTTCGGCTTTAGCCCCGGGTGTTGGGGTCCCGGGGCTGCAGTCCTGTGTGGCAGGGCTTTGGCTTTCTGCCCTGGGTCCTAGCAAGTCTAATACGCGCCATGGCTGGTGGATCCCCCTGAAACCTGCTCACAGCCCTCCAGCCCCAGGTTGAGAACCACAGTTCTGAAGGGTGCATTAAAATATATCATTGCAACCCATCTCTCTATGATTTCTACACAAAAAGGTTACGGTAATTAGATCCCTACTCATAGTGATATTGCCCAGATTCAACACACTAGCACAATACCTCATTAGTAAAGAATGTCACCTGGGCATGTATTAATATCGTGAGCCTTTGCATCTCTCATCATTTTACTATATAACTAGAATCTCACTCGAATAATTCTAGGTTTCAAAGATGTGTTGAGTTTGTAGTACTGAGCCATTGGATTTTCATCTGTCAAAACAAGGGGCCCACATATATAGAAAAAGTAATGCAAAAGTGTGGGGAGAAAGAAGCAAGTTCAATTTAATTACAGTCCACCTTACCAATTAAAGTAAATCTTTAATAGCATCAATTTAAAGCCTACAAACAATCTTGTTTAAACAACATTTCAGAAAAGGCAATCAACCCATTATAAAGGATTGCAAAAAAAGAAAGAAGCTAGCATTGCAAAGATTTTATATATTTTAACAAATACATAGCCATGGCTCCAGATAGTTACCAGAACGAAACGGGCCATCAACATTAAAAAAAACAAAAAACCTACACACTCACTTTTGTAAGGAGTTTTTTCACTTGCTATTTTTATATGTAGCCCCTAAGATCACTACCACTGAAAGACAACAACAGTTATTTTTCTCAATTTGTTTACACTGCATATATGAAGCATTTTGTATATAGTCCTTTTGACTGTGTTGTCCCTGCTCCATATATGAAGTGGGTCAGCCCCCCAGTTTGCATGGGTCATTCACACAACAACCAGGGACAGAAAAGCATTTTAAAATTTAGCAAAGCGTGATGGTAAAACACCACACACTGGCAGGTGCAGGTTCTGAAATTGCTGTTAACCTTTGTTAACTGACTATATTTCAACTTGACTGGGTCCCTTTAAATAAGAATAAAATTCAAAAAGAAGCCACCGAGCCAAAACCATACAGATTCATAGTATTCACCTCCTAAAATACAACAGAATATCCACATTCATTTGACCATCAAGTCACAACTATTCTTTATCAAAAGCCGGGGGCTTTGCACTACCCCTGCAAGCTAACAAATCTAGTCTAACCCCTCCAGGCTAACAAGGCAGGGAGCGAGTTCCAAAGTCAGACATCCTTCCCCTAACACTGCCGCTACCCCCTTTTTTCTGAAAATGGAGTAGAGGTGCTGCCTTGAGCACGTGATCACAAACACGGTAGTGTTACTTGGGAAGTGATGCCGCCTAATCTAGGTAGCCAAGTCCCAAACTGCTTAAGGCTGTTTACTAACCCTGACCACCACCTGGCAGCTAAAAGACAGCTAGTGCAAATTACAGAGGTTACGTGTCCCCTGAGTGAAACCCTGCTTAACAAAAATCCTTAGTGCTCTGCATTAACTTCAGCTTCCTTGCAGTCCCAAGGTACAGCCTCACATAGAATGCCGACTATCATCACTGTGACATGAGACTAAGGTGTGGATAACTGAGGCAAGGTCCATATCTGACAGTCAGGTGCACATGACTGAGTGCCCTGGGCCTCAGCTGCTATCTAAGCAACCAGGGACTCCCTCTTTTATAAAACCTTGAACTTGCTAACCTCTAATACAGGTCGCTGCCTCCTCTGGATGGACAATGTCATCTTCCTTAACGTTCCTGGTTGGTTCCCACATCCTAACAACATTACTTCAGCAAGCCCCTATCATCCACATCCCACTCACAGACACCAAATCACTCATTCCACTGTATCTGCCAAGTCTGACATACAAGAGACATAGATCCAAGGATCATCAGTATACTGAAAACAATGCAGCCTCTATTCCTCCCGCCCACGTACAGAAGGAATAATAAATCAGACCCCTACAGTGACCTGCCTCCAGGTAAAAGAGAAACTGTCCAAAAGCACCCTTTCATGAAGAAAGGAGTAGAACAAGCAACTCTGTCCCTGCCGCTAGGAAGTGCAGATGTATCAGTAAAACCTAGCGGTGAGTTGTAGCAAAGGCAGCTGACAGACCCAAGAGAATCATCCATCAACAAGAGGAAATCTTCTACCAATGGAACCTATGTGTCTCATTCCCAAGTCTGAAACCTGACTGATTTCCACAGCCCAGTCAGAAGCCAGAGCTTCCTGACACAAACTCAGTGACTTTGCCAGAAAAGGAAGATTGGATGGATACTGGTCAATTGTTAGCAAGGTCAGCGTCAAAGGGTAGCTTCTTGAGCAGAGGACTCAATGTCCTTGAGGATAGCGAGCATCCAGTCTCCAGCAGGGAAATGATGACAACCTCAACTAACAACAGGCACAGTATTTCTCAGCTTGCTTTCACCAGCCAGGAATGGTCCAATTCACAGCAACCTGCCGTCTTCTACAGCAACTCCAGAACTATACTGAGAAAATGACTTCAGACTTTCCTGGCTTAAAAGTGAATTTCTTCTTTTTATTGATGCAATAGCTTTGGTCCTTTTATAAAAGTTGGAGAAGGAAGAGTGCTAACAACCATCCCCTGAAAGTGCAGTATATCCATCATCTTCTAAACAAACAATATTTCAGACATTAAGCCAATGCCACACTAGATAGGACTAGAATTTGGTAAAGGAAGGTTGCAAAAAATTGGTTTTTGGTAGTCCGCTGAACCATCAGGCTAGAAGCAAATTTGTTCACCAAGTGTGTAATATTTTCACGTATATGCCAATTTCCTTGAGAATTTCAGACTGCAAATTTACGAAAGTGTATCTGGCCGATATAGTGCCTTTAAGGGAAGCTACAGTACTAAAGAGGCTAATATAGTCTTTCAGAACCGTCATCCACATTCCAAAAAGTCCTTCAATATGTATTTATAAGCAAATCCAACAGCTTTTATCTTTTCACTGCCAAAACCAAGCAGAACACACACAAAATCTTCCTAAATGCCAATAAGGCCAAACCGATCTTGGGGCCTTCAGTGCTGTTTCCTTGCATCTTAGGACCTACTCTTGAAATTACTTTCACTTTAAAAAATGCCCAGTTAGATGTAACTTACTGTTTTAATACAGCGTATACGATGAGTAAAGACATGTACTGCCCATGGCATTAGCTATTCTTTTCAACTTCTTAGTCCTTCTACTTTTGACTATGTTCCCATTTTTCAGTCTACCTAGCAGAGTCTGCACTAAAGAAAAAGTCATTTTCTGAGTTCAATTAGCACTGTCTGCACACTGCTGAGAGTCATCATTGATTGCTGTTAGCTCATCACACCAGACCAGACTGTATACCACAGAGTTGTTCCAACGACAAGACCTAGGATTAACTTTTTCCATTTTCATTATTCTTTCATGTTTCCTATTTTAGTCTCTAAACCTCTCCATAAGGAGACAAAGCCATTCTTGGCAACAAAAACAGTCACTTATCTTATTCTAACAATTAGTCCCCCTGTGCTGTTTCCACAGTAAAAGCGTTTAAAAAAACAAACAAACCTTGAAATGCAAGTCAGCCACCACCTACCATACACACACTGGCACTCCAGATACCAGACATCCTCATCTACAATGCGTCTCAGTGAGTAACACAACTGAACAGAGACCAATGCATCCAGGCAGAGACTAATTTTGTCCTTGTTATGATCAACCGAGTCATCTTACAACCTGAGGAGTCTGTTTCTCCCCTGAACACTCACCTGTCAACTCCTACCACCTACAATTGTATTTACACACACACAGGGCTGGACTGTGATCTCACTTACAGGGGCATAAACACAGAACAGTTCTAACACAGAGAGCTGACTGTGACCCACTAGATGGAGAACACCTTGTTAGCATTTTATGTAATCACTAATTGAAAAGAATAGCTGTACCTCAAAATAAACACTAGTATCCAAATTCTAGAAACAACTCAGAGCAAAGGTGCAGAATCTTACAGACTGTTTGACGAGAGCAAGTTCTGTGATGGTGAAAATGCCCATTTGGTGGGATCCAAAAGGCCTCAGCACAGCTTCAGCACCACAGCCATAGGGAGGGTGGGGGAGAAAAATGATTTGTCTATTGGATAACGGTGCTTGAAAGCTTCATGGCAATAGCAAAAAGCTATTTCAGAGCTTATACTTCAAAGTAACTGCTCTTTTCAAATATTTCCCCCCCCCCCCAATCCTTTTTCCAAATTTATGACAACAAAGATATATCTTTCAGACGGCTAATGCCTGCTTGTCTCAGAGACTGCTAGCTAGCACCAGCTGCAGGCAAATTTTTAATAGACAATTATGAAAATCTGATGTAAAATGAAGGTTCCAGTTCACAGTTCTAGTCTTTTCAGAAGCCAGAGAATAGGCAATCAATGAGAAACTAGCTTATCGATCTTTCTTCACTGCGATATTTTGAGGTTACACAGCAAGAAGGTATAAAATAGAATAAAAATATAAACGGATAAAAACACATAGGAGACTTCTAAGCGCTTCTAGCTCATTCCCAATGGGGAAAAATGAAGTCATCTTATTAAACGAGACCTTTTCTAACCTTCAATAATACACTGTATATTGTTTCTAAAACATATTAAAGAAAAAAGTATAAAACTCAACAGACAAGCCTTGAGCACAGCAATCATTCTTTAGTACAAACCTGGGTAAAAGCACTGGGGTGAACTTTGTGGGGATCCAGGAGGTCTGTGTTGCAAATCCTTCTGCTATAGGAGAAAAAAATAATAATAAAAAATTCTTAAAGGGTGCCCTTAACTACAAAGATGAGAGCATCATTTCACAGTGAACCATATTTTCAGTATCATGAATTACAGATTACAGGTGGATCCTTACACTTAAACTAGGAAAGCAAAAGCTTTTGTAGAAAAAGTTTTTAAAATTTTTCACATTCTAAAACAAAACAATGTATCTAGACTTAAAAATTACAAATAAATGCTAAGAATGCTTTGCAGAGTATAAGCAAGGCTAAGCCTTGCCTACATCAGAAAGCTGCACAGTTTAAAGATGTGATTTAAATAGCTTTATTTAAACCGCGAAAACCCATGTGGACACTTATTTCAGGTTAAGGGTAGCTTATTTTAAACCAATTCCTAATTGGTTTAAGCTGGTTTAAACCAAAAGTAGAGTGTCTACACAGGTCTTTGTGAAGGTTTAGTTAAAGCAATTTAAAACATAACTTTAATTACATCAGTGCAACTTTCTCACACAGACAAGTCCTCATTCGTATAATAGGGCAATGTCCAAAGGTCAATCTGTTAAGAGCCAAGATGTCAATACGCAGGAAAAATAAATACATTTCTGTAGCAGGTAATTATTATGGGGGTCTCATTGCATTTCATTATTTATTTTGTCTTCTGTTCTATGTCAGCCTACTTCTCTCTCCTTTCTCTTGTTCCAAGAGTGATTTGTGGGAGCCTGGTTATGTATTAGAGTTTGTAGAAAGTTGTATCTGCAAATGGAACATTCTATTGCACAGAAGATAGGCACAATAGTGTTTGCATGTTAAAAAAACAAACAAAACAAAACAAAACAGGATGATGTGAAAATTCAAAGTAGAAAACCAACAATAATTCTGCCCTCAGGACTGGGCTGAAAATTGATTCCTTCGTCTCTTGACTGCCAAGACTTGAGCTGTTCTGTACTCTCTGTTCTTCCCCATATTACTCCCTGCTCTGCCTTAGGTCTCTGAAGTCAGCAGTTGCACATGGGAAAAAAAACAAACCCTAAATTTGAATGCAAGTCTCAATAGGTAAGTGAAGGAGGAAATAATATTCAAATACCATGTTTTAAAACACAAGAAAGGACTAACATTTTTTTTTTTTTTTTTTTTACAAATACATAGTTGATTATGACCACACAATAACCTTATATGGAATCCTATGAGCATATTTCGATACAGATAAGTAAAAAATGAACTGCTTGGCTAGAAGTCAAGGCCATGGCTTGCAAAGATTCAGAAGAAGATTTTACAGTTTAGAACATGAAACCACTATTTCTACAGAGCTCGGATTATAATTAGCATGTAACTGTTCTGATCAACCTCCCTCCTCTCATGCAAGCCTCCTCAAACATGGACCAACCATGCTGTGTTACTTATTTATCTATGCAGTGGCATTAAAAAACAGGGGTTCCAAAAATTAAGAATATGCATAATTTGCTTTTAGAGAGATAGAATGTTTCAGGAACAAATAATGGGCTCAAAAGAGCCAGGAATTCCTGAGGGTGAATCTAACACTGACTTGTTAGGCTGATTTACCTAAGGCTACATTTCTGCCTCAAGCAACAGAGAGTCCTGTGGCACCTTTAAGACTAACCGAAGTATTGGGAGCATAAGCTTTCGTGGGTAAGAACCTCACTTCATCAGATGCAATGAGGTTCTTA